ACACACACATACACTAACACACACATACACTAACACTAACACACATACACACACATACACACACAAACACAGACAAACACACAAACACATACACTAACACACAAACACATACACATTTTTTTTTTTAAATGTAATCCCCCCAGCCTCCTTACCTTTTGGAGTGCTGGGGGGATTCCCTGGGGTCCAGTGGTGCTGCTGGGCTCCTGGGCGGGTGGCCGGTCGGGCAGGAAGGCGGGCGCGTGAGGGAGCACTCACTGCTTCCTCTTCAGCTCCCTCGCGCCGCGTAGGCATGCCGGCGCCGGAAGATGACGTCATCTTCCGGCTCCGGCATCAGTGCGCGAGGGAGCTGAAAGGCAGTAGTCTCCCTCGCGCGCCAGCCTTCCTGCCGACTGGCCACCCGCCCGCCGGGGTCAGCGGGGCCCACGGGGCAGGTGCCTCGGGCCCCCCAAGAGAAACTGGGCCCGGGGCAGCTGCCCCGTTTGCCCCACATTAAAGACGGCCCTGACTACAGTGATCAATTGGCAGGGATTACATTTTACAATGATCTGATATTTTTTTTAACCCCTGAGGGTTAATTTTTTTTTTTTTAACCCTTCAGGGGTTAAATTTATTTAATTAATTAAAATATTTTAAAATTATATATTTAGCTAGCTGGGGTGGGTGGAAGTTAGTGGGGAATTGGGGGATTTGGCGTTAGGCTAACTAGGGGTTAACGTTAAAAAAAGTTTTAAAATAAACTTTAAAAAGTTAAAAATTAAGCTTAAAAAAAAGTTTTGAAAACGTTACACATGTAAACACTGCCTCTTTAGTTTAGTTTGCCTGTTTGCATTGCCCCTAGGGACACCTCCAAGTGGCCACTCCTCAGATGGCCACTGAAGGGGCCTCCTGGCCCAGGGCTGCACAGTAAGCAGACCTGCCGTTCAGCGTTTCCACGCTCTGCATGGAGACACTGAATTTTCCTCATAGAGATGCATTGATTCAATGCATCTTTATGAGGAGGTCCTGATTGGCCAAAACTGCATTTGGCCATGCCCCGTGCGTTTTTGGCCAATCCCTACGGGAAAGCATTAGAATGGCACAAAAAAAAAAATCCTCCATTTCGATGATGTCATAAAGGGGGCGGGAGCCAGCGCCATTGGCGCTGGAAATAAGGTGAGTTTTAAACTTTTATGGGGGGGAAAGCCACCTAAATGGTGGGTTTAGCACTACAGGGTCAGGAATACATGTTTGTGTTCCTGACCCTATAGTGATCCATAATTTACATTGGCTATACTGTAATTGTATTATTTTTGTTTAGTATTGGCATAGATTTATAATCAAAATTATTGCTAATCTCTTCAAAACAAGTACAAATGCTTGAACAAAGACACAAAACATAAATTTTATGAAGACAAATTTTATGAGATATAAAACTCAAAAAGTGACAAATGCACTTTGAAGGTTCTTTCTTTGAAGATTCATCATTACATTGTAAAGGCTTAAAGAATGGGACACTCCAGACACCTTTGATACATATAAAAGAAAGCATTGCATTATTGATGACTTCAGACGCCAATTATGCACAGAATTGATATTTGCCCTGGGCTGGTCAATGATGCTGCCGGAGGTGGAGTTACACCTCTCGCAGCAGGGGGGTTAATCTTTACATTTGAACAGTGCTGTCTTTAATGCGGGGCAAAAGGGGCAGCTGCCCCAGGTCTAGTTACACCTGGGGGGCCCCAGAGCAGCTGCCCCATGGGCACCGCGATTTGCGCAGCCCCCATGGACCGGGCAGTGCAGCTGCACAGAGCCGCACTGGCCTGCACACTAAGGAGGGCAAGGGCCACCTGGTGGGCATGTGTCAGCAGGGGCCGGCTGGGCGCTGTGGCGCTTAACCAGCGCGACTGGCCCCTTCCTGTTCGGCAGCCGACTGGGAGGAAGTGAGTTCCGCACGTCACTTCCTCCCACCAGAGATCAGAGCCGCGCGGGAGGACGAAGGGAGTTCCAGAAGATAACTCCCAACTGCCTCAGCCTGCCACTGGACCCCAGGGAAACCACCCTCCAGAAAAAATTAAGAACCTGGAGGGTGGCTAAATGTAGCATGTGTGTGTGTCAGTGTGTGTCTGTGTGTGTTAGTATGTCTGTCAGTGTGTGTCTGTGTGTGTATGTCAGAATGTCTGGGTGTGTGTGTGTGTCAGTGCATCCACACACAACCTTACACACAAAAAATAAAATAAAAAAATTCTTACAATAAGTAGTATAATTATGGTGCTTAACTTTTAAAGAAAAAACAGGATGTGAAAGCTACAGGATGAACGCAAAGGTAAAATTGAATAAAAAACAAAACAAAAAAAACCCCACAAAGGACCCAACTAAATGAATCACAATCTAAACGCTTTCTAAAGTTTACATTTAAATAAAGTGGCGGCATGGACATAATTGCAAAACAAGTAACTTAATCTAATAAATAGGTTTACTTTCCCTTTACACTACATTTAAATTCAGTATGTTGACAAACTTGCTCTTAATTCAGGCTCTACCTGCTTTAAGTCTTTAAACCCATTTAGAAGTGGCCGATTTTTACAGACTTAATTACAGTAATACATTCCACTAATTCACTGCACGGAGTGAGAATTTGTCCAGCTCTAGACAGGGTACAAATTGCTACATTTGCTGCTATAGTGTCCACAGAAACCTTCTCTATGACTATTTTGACATTTTAAAAGATACAGTAAATATTTGAGAACTCTATTGTTGATTTTTTTAAAATTTCATTTACATGACCATTTTATACGTGGGTAAGCTTAATGTTACAGAGCAACGTAACACTATAAACTGTGAGTTTATTTAGAATCTGGCTGTCTCCTATGCATCTTACTAACGAGCAGCAGAGGAGAGTAGGTAAACAATGAGTTTTTGGCAGGGTGTTGCGAGGATTTTTGGTTACACAGGTTAAGACGCATTTTGCTTGCCATGGCGCACCTTCGGCTGCGTAGGCCTGTGTGTTCCTTACCCATTTCTAGTGCGAGAGCACGGATAATGTTTCTGTGGGAAAACCAAACTGCTCAATACTCAATATCTCCAGGCAGGGAAGCAAACTATCAATTTCTTTAAATGCTTCACTAACTGCATTGCTAAAAATAATAAACAAAACAACCATCCCTTCTGTGACGGTCACCCCGAGTGAAGAGGGGTATATACCGCAAGAGATGTCCTTTTCCCCTAGTCTGAGTAGCGCTGTAGTATCTCCAGTTTATATCCAAGCCGACCAGAAATCCAGTATAGCTGTAGAGCTCTTATAAGAGCTAATGGGTATAGCAGTTCCCTACATCACGAGACAAGGCTGCGTGTTGAGGGTTAAAGGGACTCTCCAGTGCCAGGAAAACAATCCATTTTCCTGGCACTGCAGGTCCCCTCTCCCTCCCACCTCCCATCCCTGGTGAAAACCCCTTCAGTCACTTACCAAAGGCATCGACGATGTCCCTCGTCGCTGCTTCTTGGTCCACTGCCGCTCCTCCCCTTCCTCACGCCCACCGGCTGGGGAGACCTAATGCGCATACGTGGCAATGCCACGCACGCGCATTAGACCTCTCCATAGGAAAGCATTGAAAATGCTTTTCAATGCTTTCCTATGGGGATTTTAGCGACGCTGGAGGTCCTCACACAGTGTGAGGACGTCCAGTGACGCTATAGCACAGAAAACCTGTGCTATGAATCAGGAAGTGCCCTCTAGTGTTTAAACCCTCAAAAGGTATTTAACTTAGGAGCAATAGGGTATACTAGCTCTGTATCTGTCTAGTTTGGAGCTTTCTGCTATATTCAGTACTTTTTTGGACAAATTGGAATGAACGTAGGTGAACCTGAAAGTCTCAGCGGTGTTCGGGTCGTTGAGTGTCCAAAAATAGTTCCATACACTCAACAACCAAACATCGCTGGACGCGTTCGACAAAACAAGATGGCCACCACCATACGAATCGCCAGGCCACTCAGTGAACCACCTAGAACATTCAGAGTGGCGGGTAGAGCAAGTGTTAGTAAGGTCTATTGGGTCAATTGGCGGCACACGACTGCTTTGGGTGGTCCAAGTGTTGGGTACATTATTCGGTATACGAACCAGCTGGGGCAAATCTGTTCGGTTGGGTTCGTATACTGATCCAGGCAAAATAAAAGTAATATCCAGGACCGTGGCATCTGTTAAACCTTCTAATTAGCTGTACAAAGTTATGGCATTTTAAAATTAAGGCACTAGGCACATTTGCCAGATGTGTTTTAGTACTTGTGTAATAATTTTGCAACTGGAACACACACGGTTAACTGGTAAAGCATACACTGTATATACAGGCATTTAAAAGGAACACTGCATGCATCATAATCACTAGCGCACCCTCAGTGGTTATAGTCCCAGGTTAAGTGAGCAAACTGCTTGTAAACGATTCAACAACTTACCTAGTGTCTGCCAAGTGCTGGTGCCACCCTCAAGAAGAACACTCACAGCAAGACACTACGGCACTCCTGGCACCATACCCACAACATTTATTTAGCTTTAATAGTATCATTAAAAAAATATATATATATATATATATATATATATATATTATTAGCATTTATATAAAATATATTCCACAGCACTTTACATTTTTAATGTGGAGATATAACAGAAAACAGCGATTACAAATGTTAGCAAGAGGTTTCATTAAACAAATAGTTTCTTATTGCTAAGGAAAAGTGTTGTAATAAAGCTCTTTATAGCTCTCAAACTGGGAATGCAATGAACTGGTCAGAATATATTTTTTTTTTCATATGGACACTAAAATAAACATGACTTTTTTCCAAACATACTATAGTTTGAGCAATCCAGTCTAAAGTAGAGAATTAGAACTCACAAAATGTTTCTATAGGAATAGATAATTATTTTAGAAACACACATGTTCATTTTAGTTCCCACGAAGTAGGAAGGATTAAAGTTGAGGATTAAAAAGCATAAAAAGAACAAAGCAGTGCTCTCCAACCTGCAGTAACACGGAAGGTGGAGTTTGAGGGAGGGCGGGGTTTAGAGTGAGGGCACATGTGCCTTAGGACACAGTAAGGTGCGTGGGCGGAGACTGACACACGGGATGCGGGACTTGTCGCACACATTGGGCACCCTGTATAGAGGATAATACTCACCCCATATGGGCTGCCATGCCAGTCAGGGGATGTCTGCCAATGCTGGATACATTACAGAACGCGTGGATTCTACTGCAACATTCTAAACACACACCTGAGCTCTCTGCTCTGCCCTAACTACTAGAGCGCTTTATGGCACATCCCAGCAAGTCAGTTACAAGAACTACAAACTGAGGATCTACAATATTGCTTGTTGGGTTCTGTAAGACTTCACTAAGAACTCCCTGGAATTAGAGGATCCATTCTCTGTTTGCTCTGTGTATTGAAGGGCAGTGTTCATTTGGGGAAATACCACTGACCTGCCCTTAGCCCCAGAGAGGCTGGATTGTGTTAAAGGTGGATTTTGGATTCTACAAGCTGTGTGGTCTGGCTAGATTTGGATTGGGATCTAGCTCCATATCTTGATACAGTAACTGACCCCTCTTACAAGACTGGCCCCCATCTCCTGCTTTTACCACATGCTGTAGGTCCTGATGGGATCGGTGCATGACCTGTCCCATCTCCGGAGCCTGTTCTCCGCCTGCGATGTCAATGGCTCCGGAATGGTGGAGCTTGAGGACTTCACCTCGGTGTGTACAGAGCTGGGGCTCCAGCCTGGCCAGATCCGGCCCTTGTTCCGCAAGCTGGACATGGACGGAGACGGTATGATCAACTTCCAGGATTTCTCGGCTGGCTTCGAGGAGGTATCCCAAGTGCTCAACCTGTCTGCCTACCATCCACCCCCAGCCTGGGAGGAGGAGATGGAACACCGGCTGGGGGGAGAGCTGGGGTACCTGAACAGGTGAGACCCTCGTGTGCGGAAGCTATAATATAGGAAGCAGGGGTACCTGAACAGGTGAGACCCCCATGTGAGGGAGCTATAAAATAGGAAGCAGGGGTACCTGAACAGGTGAGACCCCCGTGTGAGGGATCTATAAAATAGGAAGCAGGGGTACCTGAACAGGTGAGACCCCCGTGTGAGGAAGCTATAAAATAGGAAGCAGGGGTACCTGAACAGGTGAGACCCCCGTGTGAGGAAGCTATAAAATAGGAAGCAGGGGTACCTGAACAGGTGAGACCCCCGTGTGAGGAAGCTATAAAATAGGAAGCAGGGGTACCTGAACAGGTGAGCCCCCTGTGCGGGAAGTATAGAAACAAGACACGCTGGGGGAGAGCTGAGGTACCTGTGCGGGATGTATAGGGAGCAAGCAAGCTGGTGGGGAGCTGGGGTAGGTGGCCAGATGTGCTCCCTGTGAGGGACATATAGGATTTAGGCAGACTAGGGGGAGACTTGGGATACCTGACAAGGGACATATAGGAAGCAGGTGGGCTGGGGTATCTGGTCAGATTAGCCCCCTGTGCGGGAGGTATACGAAGCAGGTAGGCTAGGTTACTGAGACTCTCTCCCAGTGATAACAGGTTAATTAGAGACAGCTAGAGTAAAGGAAACCTAACCCTATCCCTCTTTACTGTGATTAGTAACATGATGTATTTAGGAGTTGAGTTAACACTTTGGAGCTGGAATGTTAAATGTGCCCAGCTATCAATCATTTAGAAACGCAATATAATGTCTGTCGTATGTGCAACACACCTGGAATGTCTAACTTTGATATAGTGAAACTTGGATGACGTTAGAAGTTTAAACAAAGGCTTAATAAAGGCATGTTCCAATTTTTTTTTTCCCTTGTAGAGAAACCTATTCACACTGCCCTAAGTAGATCTCAAGCTCTTTAACCTAATGGTTAATTTTGAAGTGTTCATTAACACTAATCTGATATTATAGTTGAAAATGTGGGTATCTGATAAGTAGAAAAACACACTTCTGGGTTTTATTCACTATGTAATGGTAATGAATTGAACCCACAATGCAAACTTTAGATAAAATATCTCTAAGTGTGGTTTTTATCTCAATTTGGCTATATTTGTGTGAAATTTGGAATTTTCTTTTCACTTCACCAAACTTCTAGTAGCGCCGAAAAAAAAAAAAAACCCCAACAAAAACTGCTTTTTATTGTTTGATATACAGTAGGTGTAAATCTGTAACAAATTTCAAGCTTTGTGTTAAAATAAGCAAGTTTGGAATATCCCCCCAGCTGAAACTATTTAGCTAGTATACATTTCTTCTTGCAAGCCATTTGTCAAAGGAAAAACATGTAATTTATTTTGCGAATAAAACCCAAATCAATAGAAGACATATTTGATGATCTTCCATGGAAACCAGAAAAACTGGAATGCAAGTCAGTCATAGGTTACAAGGCTGTCTCTTCTCTCTGTAAGAATTTCTTAGGAACAGAACAAAGGCTGTTGTTCACTCATCCTCTTGAGTCAATACACATTAGGAGAATAGTTGTGGAATCTCATTGTCTGTCAGGATATACAAGGTCCTGCTCTCTCTGTTTATTATATTAATTTTAGGGCCTTGTTTATTTAGTTTGAGAAAAGGTGCACTGTACAATGTGTTCATTGAAACAGTTTGTACCAACATGTAACTTGAATCGAAAGACTTTACGCAATATAATTTAATTAAACTACTACCATAACAGAGATTCCTGAGCGATTATCTTGACTGAAGAGTTTAGTTAGCTAATCAGACATATCTATCATGGTATACATTCGCTGCTGCAGCTGTTGTTGACTTGTATTCACTAAAGTGTGAATTGTTAGAAATTGAAAGTGACTTTAGAATTTAAGGCCAGTCTAGGCTGACTAAAAGATTTTTTTTTTTTTCAAATCATCTGTTTTGGCCTAATTCTTGAAATCCACTTTGATTTCCCAACAATTCACATATTAGCACTAACAATGTTATATGTTAAAATTCAAATTTGAATAAGTCAGATTTGAATATCAAAACGACGGCTAAAATAGCCAAGCTGTCACTATAGTTGAGTTGAATATGGTTTTCATATTCACTGTTTTAACCTCTATTTGTATTTAATTCTCTAAAATTCTGACTTGTGAATAACCCTGTAAGAGTTTCCCATGAAACAGGACTGGCTGGTCACCATGGGCAACTGCATAGAGCCTTTGGGTAGCCATCAATGACTAATAAATAGAGCTCAGTTCTGTGAAATACCCAGCTTTTGTGTTACTGCAACACAGTAATTGTTTAGTAGGTATTCAGATTTGTTGTTGCGTTCTCCTTATTCATAATGCTCATGGTTCCGTCCTTCATTAATATTCATGTTTCTCATCACCGTCTGATGAGCTTCAGATGTCAAACATTTAACTTTCTTAGAAAATAAGAGATAGTGGGTAGGCGCTTCACAAAATTGGAAATATAATAGATAAAACAAAAGTGGTTGATACAACAGTGTTTCCCAGACACTAGATAAGAGTAAATATAAAAAGAAATGTATATCAAAACCACATAAAGGAGGATCAGCCCCAAAAACAAGTGAAGTGGTAGAAAACAACCATAAAATACAACCTGTACGTTGAAGAATGGCAGAGTGTTATCTATAAAATATAAATACAGAACATAACATATTACAAATATATGTAGAAATAGAAGGTGGACAACCACTTACATTTACCAGAGCCGTACCAGGCTCTGTGTAGCAGGCTCAAAGGTGCCAATTCAGGCTAACAGGATTCCAGATAATAAATGGAAAAATTCCGTAGTAAAAAAGATATTTATTTATAAAAAATAATAGTAAACAAACTCCTGGTTATAAGGGGGTGGAACCCAATAACAGATAATATGTAAAAAAAGGTATCCACTTACCCAAACCAAAGTAACCAATGGAGTAGTATAAGAAAATTAAAAATTACAATACAAGTGGTAAATAGCAGCAGTCAATGGCAGCAGCAGTCAATAGCAGCAAATAGCAGCAGTCAATGGCAGCAGCAGTCAATAGCAGCATAATAGCAGCAGTCAATGGCAGCAGCAGTCAATAGCAGCAAGCTATTGACTGCTGCTATTTACCACTTGTATTTAATTTTTAATTTTCTTATACTACTCCATTGGTTACTTTGGTTTGGGTAAGTGGATACCTTTTTTTACATATTATTGGGTTCCACCCCCTTATAACCAGGAGTTTGTTTACTATTATTTTTTATAAATAAATATCTTTTTTACTACGGAATTTTTCCATTTATTATCTGGAATCCTGTTAGCCTGAATTGGCACCTTTGAGCCTGCTACACAGAGCCTGGTACGGCTCTGGTAAATGTAATTTGTAATATACAGTATACACTATGTTATGTTCTGTATTTATATTTTATAGATAACACTCTGCCATTCTTCAACATACAGGTTGTATTTTATGGTTGTTTTCTACCACTTCACTTGTTTTTGGGGCTGATCCTCCTTTATGTGGTTTTGATATACATTTCTTTTTATATTTATTCCACTTTCTTAGTTTCTGAAATATTGACTTTATTGCCACAAGCTGTATTCACTTTGTACTACACCCGGTAAACAGCGCAGAACCATTCCGCATTCCAAACCAAGGCTTGTCTGTTTTGTGATGTAGGGTTGATATATTGGTCTGGTAAATTCCACAGAACCTTCAAAGAATAACTTACACAATCAGAAATAAAACATTTACTGATACATTTGTGTAGCATTAGAGGCAATCTAACCCAAATGTTTAATTTCATGTTAATACATGGAAAAAATTTTAGACTTTCATGGTGCCCATTTTAAAGGGACGTTGTAAACTGGTATTTGCCAAACGTTTTATTTACCGTATATAGTCATGTATAAATCGAGAAATTTTAGTCCTAAACTTCATTTTAAACGCAGGGTCAAATTATCCACGGGTCAGTGCTAGTTTCAATAGAACTTTGTACATTGAATGCGGGGCAATGTAGACTCCCGAATGCCGTTCTCCTAGCTGGGCAGGGGTACAAGTTTCAGCGGTGTTTGTTGGCTGGCGTAGCTGACTCAGAGATCCATGCAGTCGACGACTGTGTACCGCCGCCTGTGTTCGTGAGATGAACACGTGCGTTCGTATATACGAATGGCTGCCGCCCAAGGGAATGCTTGTTTGCGGTTAACAGCCAGGGGTGGTTGGTGATTACGACCGGGCTTGACAGATTTGTTTAGAATCTAGGAGCCAGCTAAAAAAGTTAGGAACCAGTTTTTGAAAAACAAATTTTAGGTATAATTTTCAACGAGAAAACTGCAATTCTTAAGGGACACTTTAGACACCAGAACCACTAGAGCTTAATGTAGTTCTGGTGTCTATAACCTGTACCTGCAGATATTTCAATGTAAACACTGCCTTTTCCTATAGTGACTCAGATGGCCACTAGAGTCCTTGGTTCAGCGTCTCCACACTCTGTATGGAGGCGCTAAATGTTCCCCATAGATGCATCGATTCAATGCATTTCTATGAGGAGATGCTGATTGGCACATTGTTTTGCTGCTCATGCACAATATTCTCCCTTAGCTGAGATCATTATTACTGACCAGCCAAGGCCATGGAGAAACGGGCTTAGCGTGGGAAAAAAAGGTGAATAGAAACCACTTTCTCGTGCGATTGGAGGGGGCAGGTACCTAAACAGACACCGATTCACACACTCTCTGATAGACTTACACACATAGACACACAAACAGAGACACAGACTAACACACACATTTTCTCCCACACGCAAACTTAGATTTAAATTTTTATTACAATCCACTCAGACAACCTACCTTTTGGAGAGCGGAGTGGGTCCAGTGGGCTCCTCTCTCTTCCTGCGTGCGAGGGAGCAGTAATCTTACTGCGGCTCCTCTCTGCTACCTCGCGCTCTCTGTAGTGATGCCAGGGCTGGAGTGACATCATATTCCGCTTCCCGTCATCATTAAACAGCGTGAGGAAGCAGAGAGGAGCTGCAGTAAGATTACTGCTCCCTCGCACGCCGCCTTCCATGCTCTTTAAAAGAGTGACATCCCAGCAGCCAGGGCGAAATTTCTGGCGCCTGGGATTTGTCGAGCACTGGATTACGAGGTGTTAATAAGGGGGACCACAGACTCTGTTCGGTAACTGAACAGAAGGGGAACAATTCCATTAGAAAGTCATACCCTTGACTTATCCATGAGTCATAGCATATTTCATAATTGTTGGTCAAAAAACTGCTCTCGACTTATACACGAGATCGAGTTATATGACCACAAGAAATTTACAAAAAAATAAAAAATTGCTTTATATTTACATGTTCTGTAATTTTACTTTAGCTTGGAAGCAACAAATAATTACCTTCATTTTAGCCAATCCTTGCTCTTCCACATAAACATGGGATTAGCATAGTGCACACTAAGTTTCAATGCACTTAGACATGTCACACTAGTGTCACAACCACTTTCTGTGACATCAGTGCAAGCACTCACACCTTTGTTGCTTATACACGTACTTTGGTAATTGGAAGCAAAAGCTACAGAAGGATCTAAATTATGCAGTTTATACTTGCGCAAATGTAAAGGTTTTGCATATTACAGCAAAGTACAAATTATTGGCTTAAAGGGACACTCCATTGCCCAAATAAAAAAAATTAAAATCAGAATTTTGTAGAGATTCTTCCAGTAATTAGTTTGGGCTTTTTTTTATTGGGGGGATATATCTAAAAACTGTTTGAAAAAGCTGCAGATCTCTTGTATTTGCATGCCTGTCCAATCACAGACTTCTTAATGTAGCTCAAAAAGAATTATTTGCAAGACAGGTGTTCTGGGCAAGTGCCTGCTTCTTGAGTTTAGCTCCACTAAGCTAACCAAACCAGGAAGTAACAGGACCGGTTGCCTGATTGACAGCGAGGGGGGTGTAACCACATAAAATCAGCACTGTCACCCTCTCCCGAAAAATTAATCTTTATGACATATTTATTTTTACTGTGTTTTGGATTTCAAAAAAATTCCAAGCAGTCGAGATATAGAGAGACAAAGTAGGGTGCATCCTCCATAGACATCAGCAGTGATGTCGGCTCCTGGTGCTGAAGAGAACCGGCTGGAAAAAGATGGCCACACCCATGAGGGACAGGTTCAGGTAAGTAAATCTCACCTTAACCTGACCATTCCCCCCAGCAGCGATGTCACAGCGATGTAACATAGCAGTCTTATATTGGTTCACACTCATTTAATTTAAAGACTTTGCATATGATATGTAATGTCAGTTTTTTGCAAAAGTACTATTTGTACTGTTGTGCTGCTTTGACAGTGAAAATGTTACATCTGAGTGATATTTGAATACATCATGCTGTTATTTGGCTAATGTTGCATTACGCCAGGTTTGAGCGCTTGGACATATCAAATCTTAATTACACACTAATTACACAATAGCTATGACCAAATCATTTGTCACTTCCTTTAGGTTAGCTATGAAATTAGTTGTTAATTTAAATGAAAAGATTGGGATTAAAATTTATAACTACACCAAAATATTTATGGGCCAAAAGACAGTTTTGCTTTTGTTTCTAAGAGTAATAAAAAAAATGGTAGTTAAAATTAGCAAACTTGTTACTTTACTGACCGTATGAAAATTTGTGTTTTTAATTGTAAATGCCTATTAAAGGAGAACTGTCATTTCTCTATATCTGAACTGGAGAATCATCGTCCAGTTCAGAGAATACAAAGCCATTGCAGATGAGGAAAAAAAAATTAAATAAAAAATAGAAATGATTACAAACTATTCTAAAAAAAAAAAAAAACTTTTCAAAAAAATGTATCTAGAAAAATGCCAATAGATTTTTAATGGTGACTTGTGTAGATAAATCATTTTAAAAATCATATCCAGAATATTAAATATTAGGCCATTGTTCTCCTCTTATGGTTTCTCTACACTGACTGCCTTATGCAAAGAACAGAGTTTCTAACAATGATTGACAGGCAGCTAACATGGAGGCACTCAGCGGATGGATAAAAGGTGTGTATTTTAACATTTCATTTTATTTTTACACCTCAACGAGCTCTGTAGTTGTTATAGGGCCAGGAGTGACCTGGCACCGACACTACTATAAGAAGACACAACTTTTACAATAGAGTGGGGGGCATCAGTGCTCTTCTGGCAACATAATAATTACAGCGCACTATAGTGGTTATGGTGATCAGACTGTTCCTTTAACAACATCCGTTAATTTCCCAGAAGGGATGAAAATGTGTATATCAGTACTCTCCATGCAGCTATAATGTAAGTATTTCCTTCTCTCTGGCAGACTAATGCCTGGAGGTATGAACATGCTATAATGCTTTCTCTCACCTGATTACAGCTTGGCATTTTGCTGCTCTGATGTGTTTAACCAGTAAAACTTGCTCAAGTGACTGACTCAGCTTGTGATATATTGGGTGTACTCTATTCTTAGACATTCCAACTCTGACGTGTGAATCAGATTGGCCAATATTGGTGCTGCTTGGAAATGTACCGTTGTCACTCTCTAATTTAAAGAAATAGCTGAAGGAGAATGTTTAATTTAAAAAGCATGTCTAAATGATGTGAATTTCCCTTTAAAAACAGTTCCTGGGCAATTTTGATAAATGGGAAGAAATGTAGCTAGAAATTAATCTAGATTTACTGCATTTAATGAAATCCTAGTAATGTTCAGTTCTAAACGTCTTTACATATCTTTCCGTATCACCCTCCCTTAGTCCCAGATCCCCATCAGTACGGTTACGACCGGGCTTTTTCCTCTCCCAAGATGCTACTCTTTAATACAAATTCAAAGTGATTCTGGGTATAAGACCCAACTAGATCAGTTCTCTTCAGCAATAAACACTCTTTTCTTTAACACCACCTTCCATTCTCTGTAGGTCCTGACTTCATGCTTATCAACCCCTTTACTTTGTATTCTATACTTATTGTCTTCTAGTTCCTCCTCATTCAATACATAGTGATTGTAAAACATTGCTTCTAGATTCTATTTTCATTACACTTACTCTGAACTAATCTGTATGAAATACTCACATTGGAATTTAACTGCAATAGGGACTACTTTGTTTCAGTATTTTTCCTATGCTTGACAAAAGGGGAGGTTTTTGTTTTTTTTGACAAGCTTGTCATTTCCTCAAGTCGTCACCAGTAATGGCTGTAGGGGAAAAAAGCTCTTAATAGAGAATCCTTCAGTCTCACAGTATCTTCCATAGCTCTCATTCCCTCGTCTGCGCAAGCTGAAGAGGACTAGGCGAAAGAGGATAGCAGCAGCCATAAGGGACAGATTCAGGAAGCGATGATGCCATAAATGGGCTGTGCAATATATGACCCCAAATGGTGACAGAGCCACTTTAAATATGGGACTAAGGAAAGAGTTTGTTTAGGTTTTGTGACTGGTTAAGTTTAGGGTAAGGGAGAATGGGTGTTGAGGACATGTGACGTTTGGTTATTTGGAAAATACTCAGTCTGCCATGATTTTTTTAGTCTAGTCAGCCTCCTATGACTGATAACAGAGATGCAGTAGGTGTTAAACAGTGTGCATCACTCAATGCTAACCATGCTCCTCCTCTAAGCATTTCCTGTGTGGGGAGGCTGTCAGTGGGCAGATGGGAAGTGATCCCTTTCACTTCCTGTCCAGCCTCACACACACTAGAGGAGCTTGGGCAGCACTGAGTTTTACACCCTTTATGACTGCCCCTGCTGGTCTGCTATCAAACTTAGGAGGCTGACTGGGCTATGGGGGACACTGGCCAAGGCTCCTGGTACTGAGCTCTCCTCACCAGCCCACCTAAGATCCAAAAATGCACATATATAAGTGCTGAAAATAGGGGCCTTTAAGCAGGTGCTTACTTTGCTTAACGGGAAATCCATCCCTGATTTTTTTTTATTTTTTTTTTGCAGTACTCATTGCATAGGCATAATTGTGCATACAATACTGTAACTTCATAATAATTGTATTTTCTGCCCACAATTTCCCCTCTGGATAGTAAGCTCTTGGGCAGTTTCTCTTCTCCCTTTGTTTCCGTGTCTAAATCTAGTCATCACCTATTTGTATAGTTACCAATATTATTCTTTGGATAAGAGCGCTGTATATGAACTGTTAAATATTTAGCAGAGGATTCACTTTGTAAATGTTGACTTTAAAAGGTTGCCTTCACTTAGAGAGACATTATAGTGTACAGTCCATAGTGTATTCCTTCTTATGAGGAGGACCTAAATCACAATTTTATATAAATGAAGCAATTCAAAGCAAAATCTAATTATTCATGTGCACAAACTAGCTAACACACACTTTACTACAGCTTGAAAACATATTATAGTCAATATTATGGCTGCGGTAGTCAATGATTTACTCAGAAATCAAAATAAACAAATATTCTGAACTTCTAGAGGATAGGAACATTAGGCTAAGGAAATTGTGACAGAGGGGTTTGTCTCTTCTATAGAGGAGCTCACGAAAGTTAGGGGGCAGTTTTTTTTTTTTGTTTTTTTTTTTAAATGACACAATGTGAATGAGTTTTTCGTATTCAAAATGTCACCCCTCTGTTTGGTCACTTGATGCCCAACTGTACTATGTAAGGCACTCACTAAGCCTGGATTTTACTGCAGACAATGTTTGTACGGCATGTATAATAAATACACAACAGAAAACTCTTGTTTTTTGAGGCTGTAAATTACTCATATTGCTCACGTGGGGCTCAGGAACTCCGCTAATCCTTTCAGCCTCTTGAGATTTTAAGCAAGGGTAGCTCAACTGGTGACTCGGTAATTCAATACAATTTTATTGCACAGTGTTACTTCAAAATCACCAGTTTAATGCAAGAACTAGCATGTGTACGAAAAATATAAATGTATATTGTAAATATTCCATTTATTACCCAAGCAACCACTGGGCTACTTGCCAATGCTGTACAATAATCCTTGTTTGGTTACATGCTTGTAATGATGAATCACTAGTAACTGAATCAACGCACTATACCTCCACCTAGACTGCAAACAGTCATACAGATGTTGGTGAAGGTATTCCTGATGTATGATCGCTGTCAGGCTGGTCATAAGAGCTACACCTGTTTGAAGAAGATTAAGAACATGTTCCCTCCCACATTCCGCACGATCCCATTTCAGCCTGACATTCTCACTTCTTTGTACCTGTACCGAATACAGCTCTAAGTCATTAATGAACCCTGCTGACCAGCAGTTCTGATCTAAATTTCCAATTAGTAATAGTTTAGGTTAAGAACATATTCTTATATTGTTGTGTATATTTTTATATACTTTATTTTGAAAATAATCTACCTCTTTTTATTTACATGACCAGTCTATTGACATTTTTCTTCCCACATAATTATGTATATGGTGCATGTTTACACAGCAGGCGTTTGCTGTAAATCCATAAATGGTAGTTGTATAGCTGCCATATGTTTACTGTACCTAAGATCAGTGACGTACCTACCACGGTTTCAGGGGTCACTCCAGGGGGCCTGGCTGCAGCTGCCACCCCTGCGACCGTGGCACGCCAGCATACCTTTAGGGCAGGTGCATTGCCCCACCGCCCTGGGGCTACGGTCATCTGGTTTATGGCAGTAGGGGTGCGCTTTACTGTGCTCCTCCCCTCTTGCATCCTGCCGATGTGTGTACCAAGCATACCACCTCTGACAGGATCTGCTCACTGAGAGAGCATTCAGTACTGCGCTCTGGTTGAAAAGGAACAGAAGGGGATGCGGCAGGGGGAGAGGGAGTGAGACACATGGATGGGCTGGGGGGAGGGAATGAGACACATGGATGGACTGGGGTGGAGGGAATGAGACACATGGATGGACTGGGGTGGAGGGAATGAGACACATGGATGGACTGGGGTGGAGGGAATGAGACACATGGATGGACTGGGGGTGGAGGGAATGAGACACATGGATGGACTGGGGTGGGAGGGAATGAGACACATGGATGGTCTGGGGTGAAGGGAATGAGACACATGGATGGTCTGGGGTGAAGGAATGAGACACATGGATGGTCTGGGGGAGGGAATGAGACACATGGATGGTCTGGGGAGAGGGAATGGAGACACATGGATGGTCTGGGGAGAGGGAATGGAATGAGACACATGGTGGTCTGGGGAAAGGGAATGAGACACATGGATGGTCTGGGGGAGGGAATGAGACACATGGATGGTCTGGGAGAGGAATGAGACACATGGATGGTCTGGGTGAAGGGAATGAGACACATGGATGGTCTGGGGAAGGGAGAGACACATGGATGGTCCAACAAACACATGGATGGGCTGGGGGGAGAGGGAATGAGACATATGGAGGGGTGAGGGGAGAGGGAATGAGACATATGGAGGGGTGAGGGGCTGAGACACATGGAGGGGCTGGGGGGCAGGAATGAGGAGCTGGCAGGAAAGGAAACATGGGGGGTGAGGGGCAGGGCAATTTTTGCACTGGTGGTTTTTAGTTATGCCTCTGCCTATGATGTATTAAAGAAATCCAGATGTGACATCACTGGCCAAATGTTGTTTATAGAGTAATCAACAATGGTCTGGGGTGGAGGGAATGAGACACATGGATGGTCTGGGGTGGAGGGAATGAGACACATGGATGGTCTGGGGTGGAGGGAATGAGACACATGGATGGTCTGGGGTGGAGGGAATGAGACACTGGGATGGGCTGGGGTGGAGGGAATGAGACACTGGGATGGGCTGGGGTGGAGGGAATGAGACACTGGGATGGGCTGGGGTGGAGGGAATGAGACACATGGATGGGCTGGGGTGGAGGGAATGAGACACATGGATGGGCTGGGGTGGAGGGAATGAGACACATGGATGGGCTGGGGTGGAGGGAATGAGACACATGGATGGGCTGGGGTGGAGGGAATGAGACACATGGATGGTCTGGGGTGGAGGGAATGAGACACATGGATGGTCTGGGGTGGAGGGAATGAGACACATGGATGGTCTGGGGTGGAGGGAATGAGACACATGGATGGTCTGGGGTGAGGAATGAGACACATGGATGGTCTGGGAGAGGAATGGTCTGGGGAGACTGGGATGGTCTGGGGGGAGAGGGAATGAGACACATGGATGGTCTGGGGGGAGAGGGAATGAGACACATGGATGGTCTGGGGGGAGAGGGAATGAGACACATGGATGGTCTGGGGGGAGAGGGAATGAGACACATGGATGGGCTAGGGGGAGAGGGAATCAGACATATGGAGGGGTGAGGGGCTGAGACACATGGAGGGGCTGGGGGGCAGGAATGAGGAGCTGGCAGGAAAGGAAACATGGGGGGTGAGGGGCAGGGCAATTTTTGCACTGGTGGTTTTTAGTTATGCCTCTGCCTATGATGTATTAAAGAAATCCAGATGTGACATCACTGGCCAAATGTTGTTTATAGAGTAATCAACAATGGATTTGTGATGCCCACCTCCAACTTACCTTTTATTATGCATACATAAATGTTTTGTCCTCTAAAGTCCCTCCCCGTTCTGCTCTATGCAGTCAATTGCAGTTGGCAGTGATCGACCAAATGTCCATCAGTAGCCTTCTAGCTCACAACGTGCTTAGACCAGTTATGAATGTTACCAGATTTAGGGTATGATGATTAGTGGTTTAAGATCCTGTGGAATCTCATGTGTTTTTCTTTGTGTTAACATAATTTGATAATCAGGACTATCAACAAATCAATCAATCTTAGTTACCGGTGTCCATGTCTTAGTGTCTTTTTCACCTTCATGTCTTTCTAATGTAGCATCCCTGTTCCGCATTGCTCATGTACCTACCATTTCACCTATAGCTCTGTTTATATCATGAATTCTTAAACAGCAGTAAGTATGTTTGTTCAAGCAGTAACTCCCCTGGCTAATTTTTTATTTTAATTATCAATTTAAATTTAATTATGTTCAGTAGACATCTCTCAGTTCATCTACAAATTATGTTAAAGATTTTACCAGCCTCCACTGAGTTATACAATTAAAAATGACCGTTGAGAGGGCTATTTTGATGTAAAATATTGCCTTTCTGTGCTCCTTGTTTAGAAAAAAATGGAATCCGAGTGCCTTGATGATAATTTTATTGGATATCATTTGAGATCTTCACAAGGTGTACATGTTTGGTAGGTGCCCATTGCATGCAGGACATTTTTTCAGCTTGCACCCAGGTTACGAATTCTGATATTTGTGTGAATGTCCATCTACATATATCTTTCTTCTTTGTAGTGATACCAGAGATCTTCTGTTCACCTTATATCAGAATATCCATGGAGTGTCTGTCCCAGGTCTTCTTGAACAGTATGAGAAGCTGATTAATAACATGTCACATGACTTCCGGGCTCAGAGGCTGAACATTGAGAAGCTGGAAGCCATCCTCAAAAGGTTTGTGTAATGAATGGTGAAATTATCAGGTTATCTCATGGGTTTAGATGAAGATTGTAGTTTCAATCCTTTTACTCTTCTCATGGAGTAACTATGGCAACTCAAGTGGACATGCAGAGACTGGAGAGAGAGACTTAAAACTAGATAGTATTGCAGACTAGACACACTGAACTCCTGTCATTGAAACCTTGTCAACTACACGGCATGGGGCAGAAGAAAACTGGCCGAGGGACACATTTTCTTTGAACTTTTAAGCTAAGGCTAGACGGTTTACTCCAGCAGGAATTGATCATTACATTTACAGTTTTGGGTTTTTAACATTTTTCTCATGCATTTTAATTTAGAAAAAATTCTTTTTAACTGTTAAGTAATTGCTCTGAGATATAAACAATATGAGTCCTCTTTATAACTTTGAGCATTTTAACTTTAAACGAGTATTTAATTTGAATAATGGTTTGGATTATATAAAGTCACATTTTGGCTGAGAATTGACCCCTATAAAAAAAAAATAGTAAAAAAAAATTCACTTATAATTAGAAAGAAAAAAGAAGTCCACAAAATTGATACTTGCATCTCGATGTCCCTAGTTTGATGCGGGAAGATGACTCAAAATTGCAGAAAAAAAGGGGAACACGTGCAGAATGTACCAAAGACTAGAAGAAAGGATGAGTCAGATCAGGGGAGGTCAGAAATGTGCTGTAAAGAAGTAGGGAGGTAATGTTTGATTAAAGAATGTGCTTGTGGTGGAGAAAACGAGCTACATGCTGTTGTGTGGTGGATTGCATATAGAAGTGAAGTATGGATGTATCAAGATGCAAGTTTGCTAGACTTGTCCCTTTTCGATTTGCTCTGTTACATCGGTGCAATTGTCTTATAATTTCCATCTGTATATTCCCTGCAGAACTGAGGAGAACACTGCCTTACAAATGGCTGAGTTAGAGGAAGACTTGCATGTTCACTTAAACAAGGTGGAATATAAAATACGGGAAGAGGTATGAGAAATTGCCCCCTCTCTTTTAATAAGTACTCTACCCAGTACAGGTTTATAACTGATATCGTCATTATTCCACATCTTAATGTATACAAGAAGCCCAAATGGCTGTGAATGGATAATGATAGGAACCGTGAGTTTCTACGTAATGTTTCCCTCAATCTTGGTGGTTGCCAAATTAGCTTGTTAGCTACAGATTCTTAATTCATACCTGTAAATTATTTGACTGGGTTAAGTAGACAATGTCTGTGGGAGGGCAATGGAATTTGGGCACCAAACATTTTGCTGAAAAAAAGTACATTTTCAGGGACAACTTCATGCACCACAACTGTTACAACAGGTGCTTGGATCTGTAGCTAAAAGCTATGGATTCTAAACGTAAACCAAGAATTGCCTGAAGGAGTACATCTTTAAGATTACCAATTGTTCTCGACTGTGTTAAATATTTTTTGATATGGTTGGTGAGACAGACAGACCATTTTATGTATTTGAAACATTATATAATTCAATGTTTTTTGTCCTGGTATTCAGTGTACAGATTTGTATTGCATAATTATATACAGTTCAACACTGAAGCTGGTTCACAGAAACCATCAGTAGTGTTATGTTTCCCTTTTTTTATGTCTCTCTTGTTTTAAACATCCAATGCATTATGCTATTTAATTTTGGTCTTACAAATATTATTATTATTATTATATCAACCTGTCTTCATGCAATTATAATGAGAATTCTTTGCACCAGAGTTTGTAATATAAAATATGTGCAGGAAATGTAGCTGCGGATGCTAAACTAAGCTAATTCAATTAAAACCTCTTTTTGTATACCTATGTAGGTATATAGCCTGTCTGGATCATGTCTATAGATTATATTTCTTTCTAAACATCTTCCCCATATTACAGGAGCAGCATAGGCTTGAAATTGCCCTCCAGGAGCTGCAAATGAGGCACGAGCACGAAATAATGGACCTGCAAGCAACGGTCAGCAGACTGGCTAAGGTAATCTATGAATGAATCTCTAAATTAGTTAACGGCAGTAATATGATGGAATGTTCCATTTGGATATACAACACTTTTCTATATCACAGAGGCTTTATACTCCAGTCTTTCAAAATGGACAATGTTTTTAAAAATTAATGCTGACTTCCATGTTTAGGAGTATCACGTCTCTCCATTTTTCAGTTTTATATAAATATACCATGGTACAATAGTGTAAATTTTATAAAACATATATCCTCAAAGATCCAGGAAGTAAGTGATGAGATAGCTGAGTGGTTTGTACTCCAACTGTCATATCTCGGGGGGCAGGTGAAGTCAGTTTTTTTGTCTGGCCAAGTTTGGTTAAATCCGTACAATTGAGTGGAATGTGTATCAGAACATGCGTGATGTTTGCATAGTCGTCCTTTTAGCAAATGCAATACACATACCCCAAAAAGACTTTGACACCACATATTTTGGGAAAATTTATCACTGCTTTCATAAATAAAGATTATCAAGTAAAACAAGATCATTTTAAAACCTAGCTCACATTTTGACATATCAATGCCTTTAACAATTATTATTATTATTATTATTATTTATTTTATTATTTATATAGCGCCAACAAATTCCGTAGCGCTGTACAATGGGTGGACTAACAGACACATAATTGAGATCAGACCACTAACGAACAGGAACAGAGGGGGTTGAGGACCCTGCTCGATGAGCTTACATGCTAGAGGGAGTGGGGTATAGTAACACAAAGGGTTAAAGTAGGGGAATTAAATAGTTTGTTACAGAAGGGTTTATGGAGTGCTTGGTAGGTCATTTTTTGACAGGTGCAGGAACGGCGTCATGGGGTGGGGGATGAGAAACCTGCTGACAGTTTAATTGATACGCTTTAATGAAGAAGTGAGTTTTCAAAGATTTTTTGAAGGAGTGGAGGCTGGCTGAAAGTCTGATTGAGGAGGGAAGGGAGTTCCACAGAATAGGTGCAGCCCTGGAGAAGTCTTGAAGGCGAGCATCAGAGGTGGGGATCCGGGCAGAGGATAGGCGTAGGTCTTGGGCTGAGCGCAGGGGTCTCGACGGGACATACTTGTGTATGACCCACTTTAACAATAAATTGATACCACATTCTAAACCATATATATAACATATACACATAAACCACTAACACAGAGGGCATAATTTTCCACGTTTCACATACCGAGATACGCCTACACAGCACAGGTTCGGAGCAACCAACAAGCTCGAACCTACCAATACCATTCCAAAAACCTAACTTACCGAACTAAAACTATCCCACATATGAAAAATTACCTACCCCCAAGTTTTCCATCTAGTCCCCGCCGCTGTTACCAAACTGGAGACCAAACCAAAAGGTCAACAACAGGTAAGTGAGGATTAAATTAAGATGGTCCCTTATCTAAAATGCTGCCTTTATATAGCCCTATGACAAACCCCACCCCACCGCACTCATACCCAAACACCAACACTGCCAACATTCTATGCCTGCCTCCTAGCAATGTCAAGGCCCATTTCCCTTAGCTAGTGGCAGACCTACCGCGGTTGCAGGGGTCGCAGCTGTGACCAGGCCCGTCACTCCAGGGGCCACCCGATCGAAAGATGTCTTCAGGGGCCCGGTTAGCGCTGCGGCACTTTAACAGTGCGACCAAGCACCCTGTGATGAGGTCAGAGTGCCAGCAATCCCCGAGATCAACAAGAGAGTAGGAGAAGGAGAGGAGGGAGTCAGAGCGGGAACTCTGACTCACATCAGCCTGAGCCAGCCACTGAACCCCAGGGAAGCCACACTCCTGCATCTAAAAGGTAGGAAAGCGGAGGTTGACTAAACATGTTGTCTGTGTGTGTGTGAGCGTGTGTCTGTGTGTGCCTTATGTATCTATATGTTTGTCATTAAGTGCCTGTGTATCTGTCTGTATGTGTGTCTGTGTAACTGCATATGTGTCAGTGTGTGTCTGTGTATCTGTATGTATGTCAATGTTTGAATCTAGGAGTTTCATTCTGTGTTACTGCATGTGTGTCATTCTGTGTGTCTGTGTGTGTGTGTGTGTATGTATATGTATGTATGTATGTGTGTATATATATATATATATATATATATATATATATATATATATATATATATATATATATATATATATATATATATACATATATATATATATATATAGTGTGTGTCTATGTGTCTGCGTATTTGCATGTGTGTCAGTGTGTGTATCTGTGTGTCTGTATCTGTATGTGTTTTAGCATATGTGTTATATGGTGTGTCTGCATGTGTGTCAGTGCGTGTTTGTATATCTGCATGTGTGTCAGTGTATGCACCTGTGTGTCTGTGTAAACTTAACAGCCCACATACACTGTCACCCCTTTTCACCTTGCCACACTCACAATAACTACCCAAATCCCGTCATACTCACCTCCCATCGCTCTGCCTTTATTTAACCAATCACATTCACTTTTTCTCGCACTGTCATACTTACACAATTTTCGCACTGGGGCTCCGTGGTTTTGTAGTTACGCCTCTGCCCTTAGCTATGCCACTCCATGGGCTATATACAGACTGGGAAAGGCTAAAAGCTTCAAGGTTAAACACTTTGATACTATTTCACCTTTGTCAATAAGCAGCTTCTGATATTTCTATATCAAATTAAATCTGGTCAATTCCAACCTAATCAATCATTTTAGACGGACATTATCAATCTTATGATTAGCATCACTTATTTATGAAACAATGTGCAACGAGACAATATTAGCAGTTCTGAAATTAAATCAACAGAAAGCTCTGCTTGATAGAGTTTATACTTTGATAGAGGCCAAGGTATCACGTCCATTAAACAACTATTACAGAATAGTTTCTTTGATCCTTTTTTGGCTAACCCTGGCTCAAAGGGTTCGTTGTGCTCACCTAGATGCTGGGGAGGGGTATTTTGGGGGCTGGGGATCATTTTTTTTATTATTCATTTGTTTGTTTTTGTTGTTTTGCTTTAAAGTATTGGTTTCCTCACAACTGTGGAAGTTAATTATAGTAGGAAATTTGCTTTCTCACTATTTACTATGAAGGCATCAAGACAAAATTAGAAAAAATACAATGTTTTCCGTGTGACTAAATATGAAGCAGATGCAGTGACCTGTTAACTGTCAGGAATGACAATAAAAACAACTCTTGTTTATTCTTCTTTACAACCCTGATACCATTGCTTTACACCCACCTTTTATGAACCATTGTACTCACATTTAACCCTGTTTTGTTGTGGGAAAACAATTTTATCACACCTGCACATTCCAACATTCACATAAAACACACATTCACCACAAGGAAAACCCTGGGCGATCTAGGGAGAGGTAAATGATTAATGACCTGTGCATTACCTTGGTGTGAGCCCGGGAGTGCGGTGGTGATGGTTTATCCTGTTGAGTCCTTATTGAAGTGAATTAAAATATTAAGGGGTTCCTACAATTGAGACCCGAAGAGACCTATTCATAGGGTTATGATTAGGTACTGGGTTGCATAGGTCATCTGCAGTCAAGCAATAAAATGTGCAATAACATGGTACAGCATCAGTTTTTACTACACCTTCTCATGTCCATTGAGGCACACTAAGAAGGTCTGTAGCTCCAAAATAGCTACTGTTACTGTTTCCTAAAACTGAAACCTTTTGTTAGTTAGAAATAAAATAATAAAATTCCCACATGTGCAAATCATTTTATTGTTTTTACATTGTAGGCAGACATTTAGTGGATCTCATATGTCTGTAACAAAGGTATAATAAAGATATTTAAAATTCTGCTAGCCAAATCATAAGTGGGCTCATGATGTCAGTAGTGCATTGTCAGTAAATATCAAAGATACAATGCTATACTTTTTATAACTTATTCTGTGTACGTCCATCGAAAGGCATTATTTCTCATTTTTAAAATTAAAGTTCAATAGGTTCAAGTGGATGTTCCTGCAAATTTATACAAGGAAATAGTTTGGTTGAAGAGTCTTAGCATTGCATTCATGGTGTGTTTTTTCTACAATAAATGATATCCTTTTTCTTTTTTTGGAATACAGGTATTATTATTTTATTTATCAGATTCCGTAACGCTGTACAATCGGAAGTATGGTATCGCAGTTTGTGTAGTTGGAGCACAGATAGCCTGGAGTGGCTCCTTTTTGGGTTTTTATTATTTCTCTGCGTAAATAAACCATATTCTTAATTTATAGGGATAGAAAACAAGCGCAAAAAAGTATAGGGGTTCACGTAAATTAAACCTACTATACTTCCGGGAGATATGAATAGTAGTTGCATGTAATATTTGTGTTGAATAATGAGCCTGTACCCAAGTAAGTATTCTTTGAGAATCTGCAGTAAAGTGCTATAAAGTGAATACAGAAACACTCCTATGTCCAAGTAAAAGTATCTAAAACAGAGTTACATAAAAAATTACTGGTAAAGAGCTAATAAAAAGAGCTTTATTAACTATGGCTCTATATGCAAACTCAAACCAGAAAGGTTTAATGGTGGTGAGTGCTACGAAAGAAAGAAGGATAGGCAATCACTTAAAAGTTCTCACCACAGGCATTCATACTTTCATTTGCATATTTAGTTTATCTCTGAACTTTTATGGGATTGCCTAACCTTCTACCTTTCTTAGCACTCACCACCATTACCATTTTCTGGTTTGAACCCCATATACTTTTTTGTGTTTGTTTTCTAATACTACCTAGGGTTATGTCATGAGAGACCCCAGGAGTCTCTCACTGGTGCCAAGGATAATTGGAATCACTTGGACACAACTACTTAGTATTGTGTAATACGTTGTTTCCATTTATTATCCTATTTCTGTGTATATCTTTAATTTATAGGAAGCATAAAGCAATCAAAAAAACCCTAAAAGGACAGGATTCTGTGAATTCATGCCCACTATTTGCATATCTACTGTGTTTTATCCAATATATTTTCTTGTCATTATTGTTGGAATGCTTGAAAAGTTATACAATGTGTTGTTTCTATTATTTTTGGAAGCATGAAGAACAGAGAAAGATCCTGGAATCCAGGGAAGAAAGCACCAGGCTGAAAAACCAAATCTTTGACCTGTCACAGGTACACATTGTTCTCTTGTGATTTAATAGTGTTCACAGGGATGGGTTTCACATAAATGGAGATAAGAAAGTACCTAAAGTCCCTTTACAGCGATAGACACCCATTATAAGTTCAATTTTAAAGGAACAATTACCTCGACGCTTACAAATGTTAAAGATTGATACATACTTACTGGAAACTGCCCGTTGATGATTTTTTTTTTTTTTTTAAATACACACATGTATTATAACCTGTGTGTCTAATTTTGTAATACATACACCTAAAATACCACTTTTTACTGCGTCTTATACTCTATACACCTTTCTCCGTGGAACAGGCATCATTAATTTATCTTTGGTCAAAAGTATTGATTATCCAATCACAGACCATGCAGTTATTCAAGAGCTAGTTGCTGTTCACAAATGTAGTCCCTGTATCTGCTTTATCTCATTAAACCAGCTATAGTGTCTGGAGTGCCCTCATTTCATTCAGCATTAAAAAGTTATTTTTATTTTATTATGTTTTAATGATAAATGAGAGTCCCCAGCGCTGCTTTTGCTAATGATGAATTGGCCTAAGCAGCAGTGGACAGCTGTGATTGGCTAAAAGCAGTCAGCTTACATGCAGGGCCGTACTGGGAATTAAAAGCAGCCCTGGAAAAAAAATATTTACCAGCCCTATAATGCGTCGCGCCAGCATAGTGTGCAGATACAGAGTTAGAACAGATAACTTAAAATTAAAAAGTACTTCAACGTAAAAAGCGCACTCATAGACTTCAAAATAAACAAAAGTGCAGATTTATTTTAAGCAGACGTGCCTTTGCATGTAATCAATATTTCAGTCCAACTACGTTGACATATTAAGGAAAGCTTGTTAATGGGACTGAAATGGTGAATGTATGTAGGGCACAACTGTAAAAAAAATTTATTTTGAAGTCTTGTGCGTGTGCTCTTCACTTTAAATATGTTATTGTGCTGGAGTATGCACCTAGCAACAAGACTGGGCCAATATCTGCTCATTACATATGGTACATATTAATGAAATTTCTCTGTGTATTATGCATATATAAATGTACATTAATATATATAGATAGATATGTATATCTGTATGACATGTATATTAGATATACACATTAATATACATGTCATATACCAGTGACGGATCAAGAGCCTGAGCCCGGGAGGGGCACTTGTAGATTATTTAAAGAAATATTCGATGCACAATAACCACTACTCCTCTGTGTAGTGGTTATGGTGCCAGGAGTGTCGGCACCCCCTCCCAGAGTATGTAGTCAAACCGTTTAAGAACAGTTTGACAACTTACCTGGAGTCTGCTGGGATATGGGGCTGTAGTAGGGTATAGGAGCAGTGGTGCAATGTGTGTGAAAGGTTCAGTGTGGGGGGGCAGTGTGTGAATGTGTATGGTGTGTGTGTGTGTGGGGGCAGTGTGTGAATGTGTATGGTGTGTGTGTGGGCAGTGTGTGTATGGGGCTAGAGTTCACTCCTACTACTGCGACCACCAGGAAGTGGTGAGAGTGAACTCTAGCCCGTAGCTCCAGGGCTAGAGTTCACCCTCGTGAGAGCCGAAGCGTTGCCCCGGGTCCTCTCTTTCTCCCCCTCACTGCTCCTCTGTATCAATGTCTCCCCTCTCCTTCCCAGTCTCTCTCTTCCCCCTCTGCCTCTTTCTTCCCCTCCCCTTGTGTATCTCTCTCATTTCTCCCTTTGTCTCTCTCTTCCCCCTCTGCCTCTTTCACCCCCTTTCCCTGTGTCTCTCCCTCCTCCCCTTCTCTCTCCCTCCCCCCTTTCCCTGTGTCTCTCCCTCCAACCCATCTCTCCCCCCCTTTCCCTGTGTCTCTACCACCAACCCATCTCTCCCCTTTCCCTGTGTCTCTCCCTCCAACTTTTCCCGGTATCCCGGTGGGCCAGTCTGGCCCTGCTTACATGTCACCCAATCAGAGCTCCAACTGGTAGTATGATGGTCTGACTACAAGGAAGTGGGTAATCTCTGTCTTAACCACACCTTTAGAAGGGGCTGGACTGTGGGTGGCCAGGGACCATTATTTATTGCTAAACTTCTCTAAAATAGGTTGCCACTGGATGGACGGACAATGCCAGGGGATTCCAGGCACTATAACCAATTTAAAGCGATGAAATGGTTATTGTTGCTGCAGTGGCCCTTTAAAGAGACACTAATTTTTCCCATATATTGTTTTTTGCTTATCACCCTTACCTTCAGAAAAATAATCTTAGTGTTTTAATGTTTGTTTTTTTCCAAATAAAAACTGGTGGGGCGCTGCCCCTGTGAACAAGCTTCCAATGATCTCTCTCTCTGTCTGTCTGTCTATTTGTCTATCTTCACTTTTTATTGTAAAAAGGAGGCAATTAATTACTCATTTTTTTTCATCCCTGGTATTGAGTTTATTATAAGACTTATTTGATGTGTTGTACTGTTTAGTCAATGCTTTACCATGTTTTTTCTTTTTCTTTTTTTTTTAATTCCCATTTAAGGAGAATGAGTTCCTAAAACATAACTTATTAGATACCCAGACCAATATCTCACTCCTGCAGGCTGAACTGGACAAGTTAAAGAATGACTATGCTGACCAGCACATGCACTATGAAAGGTAAAGGGACCTGTGTGGCAGAGTCCTAAACAAAAACTGATTAAAAAGCATTAACTGAACATGCATTTTTAGAAGGCATGCTGCTGAAATTACCAAAGTACACAACACATTATACAATAATGATATGTCTAAATGAATAATCACAGATCCATCAGTCATATGTTATTTTTGTTCTATTATTATTTTGCTTTCTACAGCCTTTAAAAGATTTATAACCAACATGTTTGGGAAAGGTTCACATATTGCATTGTTTGTTGTAGAGAAGAATTGTAATGATAATTAAAGGAACACTTTGGGCACTATAGCAACGTCATCTCAATGTCTTAACTTAAGGAGTTCAAGTGCTTACAAATAATTTAACCTCCTTCAGTCCTCCCTGTCTCCTTTGGCCCTGGCTACATTGCAGAAGCATTGCCTCAAGTGCCGTTGATAGTTGTTAGCTTCCGCTGACATTCTCAACCTATAACTGGCTTCCCATTGAGTAACATGCACATCCAATGTATTTTTGAGGTTGTTATGGTGCCCTGTTGCTTTAAGTACCTTATCATTGCATGCTTGTTTCTTTGTTAATAATGTTACACATATTGTATATTGCATCTTTTAATTGTCAAGGAGAACCATTTTCAGTTATGCAACCCATCTGAACAAATAAACTGATGTTTAGCGTGCCATTCTATGTAACGTACATGCTACCATATAAGTAATCTGAATTTGTTTCTTGTTGTAGAGAGATGGACATGCTGAAAACAATGATAGACGAGAGCAGAGAATACAGCAGTAAAATCCAATTACTAAAGTGAGTTCCGAGAACCGACATTTGAATCCATTTTAAATTCCCTTAAATGTCCGCAATGTCAGATTGACGTATAATAGAAGCTCAGATCACAGTGTTTAATGTGAAAGAAACCTAAAATCGGATGTATGGATGTGTGTTTGCATTATAGATCTGTACATGTTTATTCACTAACATGGCTTTTTGGGAGAATTAAAAAAATTAATTATGAGTGAAAGTCCAAACTGACTGACTGAGCTGGAAACAATCATCGGATTATCTATTATTCCAGGTTGTCAGTTTTTGTCTTGAATTTTTAATTATATGTGTTTATTATTTGATGTCACTTGGAGTGAAGAAAAGTTATTCTTTACTTTAACGTTGTGCATTATCTGCATATCCTGAATCTGACCTTGAGAGTTCCACCTAGGGCATAAAACTCAAGAAATCATGTTTCCACAACTATCCCAGAGTCTCTAGCTTCACATACAATGAACAGAGAGGCTTCGTGTTTCAGACTCCGTACTGCAGATACACTTAGCCATGGATGCTGGTTCAAACACAGGTTGTTTGTGTGTGTTTTTGGCTTTTGGGGCGTGTGTTTTTTTTTTTTTTTTTTCTCAACCAAAGCAAAAGGATCAGTGACCACAAACCAGCTATGAACTGCAGTTTTGACTTTGTGAATCTCATCAGCATGGCTCTGGTTCTGATCTGGAAGTTGATGTCTCTCTGAGAGCATGTAGTTAGGCACCAAAATGATTACTTTAAAAGATTTCTCCAAGCATGCTGCTTCATCTGAATTTGCTAATGGTAACTGTTTTTCTGATATGCTACAGGCCCTTTAAATATGTGCCTTGATGTGCTGACATACTGGAAATAAATAAACTGAATTGTGCTCTATTTATAGTGAAGCCAATAAGTCTCTATATGACCATAATGACAGCATGAGGTCAGCGCTCTCAACCCTTGAAATTGAGAAAAAAAAGGTGAGGTTTTTTTTTTTTTAAATATAAATTAAAATTACTTGTACCTTTTTTTTTTTTTTTCTCCAAGTGGGAATCCAAAAATACTAAATGTTTGCGTCTTGTGGTTGCTTTTTCATTGTTAGATTCATGTGGAGCTGTCCAAGCAGCCTGACCTGCTGCAGGACTGGGATTCCTGTTGGCTGTTAATGCACTAGGTGTTCTACATTATTTAAGGCCTCTTAATATGAACAGAGGCAAACCAGTGATTGGCTATGGCATTCTAACAAACCTATTCCAACGCATGATATGCCTGTGATGGTGTGAGAATAGCCAGCCAGATAACCAACCAATGAAACGTTTGAGGGTTCAATAGGTTACACCGATTTTAAAACAAACATTTTTTAAATCTTTTTCCAGCATTCCTCTCCCAATCATGTAGAACAACCTGTGATCACCTACAGCAGGTAATATTCATTGATGGTCTATGCATACATAGTTCTTATTCTCTTGGTAGTCAAAACGGTTTCATGCATTGTTTATATATAGATATGTAATGTCTTCAAATTCTCTCTAGATTTTTAGGTGAAGATGATTCGTACGCTAGGTTTACACATGTTGCTACATGGGCCAATAAATGTACAGACACTCGGGTATCTCTGCCACGAAGCTTGGGTTACAGCGATGTGGATAGCTGCCCTAGCGAATTTGGAAGTGAGCACAGTAATAGCTCCGAAGATCCTTGGTTGGCAAGTGTATCGTACATGAATTCTGATGGCGAGGTAAGTGTTTTATACATTCATTTTCTACATGTGTAACTAAAAGGAATACAGTGTTGTATTATGGAAATCTCCACTGCATTTCATGTTTATTTTCCCATTACATTTACTTTCTTGTATGACTATGAATCTGTCACTCGACATCAGGGGAGCTATTGGAACGGAAATTAAAGAGTAGATTTGATCAGCTTTCTTTTTTTAATGCATGGTTTCTTATGATTTTATTAATAATGATATACCTTTTAATATAATCATGTCATATTAAACCGAACATTAACTTCTGATTGGTAAACGTGACCTGTGGCAGCAAGGTCTTGTAGGGCAGTGGTTCATAATAGCTGTCATCTTCCATTTTACCAGGCGCTAGAGAATAGGTCAGAAATTGATGGAAGAACAAGATGGACTCCATCTCGGCCTGTAAGTCGCAGCGGTTCCTCAGCTTCTTCAAGGCGGCGACTTCCTGCTTTTACCCCAAGAGTGAGTAGAAGTTATACACCATCTATTATCGTCCCCGCATTCCATACTGTTTGCTCGTCCCACTAGCATATTTTTCACCTGTACAAACATTACTTATATAAATAAGATGGCGCAATAAAAGTTATAATTCAAACAATATTATGTAACAGTTGCAGCAACCAACATAAACAAAATTTTGGTAATACAATTTAGGTACAGCAGAAAAATGGAAGTGCTGGTGCTCAAGATTTAAAGAAACACCCTTAGTGAATAAAAAGAGTCTCTTAAGGTGATATTTAAAATTCACACTTTAGATATATTCTGGGTGTATACAAACAGTAATGGAGTGATTTTGTAATTCAACCAGTAATGTGAAAAATACAAATATACTTGCAAAATCATAAATTCACAAAGATAGGAGACAAAAAACACAGAAAGCACTCCTAGTGCAATAAAGTTACAAAGTATAAAAATAAAAAAAAATTCTCTAGGTGTTCAACTCACTAGTTGAGAGTGGTAGAGGCCCCACTCATAGCTATAGCACCCAGGGAGGATCAGCCTCTAGAGTGCGTGGGATCCAATAGATGCTCTGATGACCAGGATAGCAGGTAAGCAACATTCCTTTATTTTAAGTATTAAAAATACATATGCAGAAATGTATGTAGTCCACCGTCTGCTCACCAACCCACAGGGAATGAAAGACGCTTGAATTCTAACCGCCGTCCTTGTTCCTCTCGTGGCTTCCGTGTTCCTGGTCCCATGATGCGGTTCGCCCCTCCTCTTGGGGCTTTCTCAAACGAGCAGTATCTCCTCCCACCTCTGTAAAATCTTTATTTGCTGGACTTCTTACCGTGATCCAATCGGCATATATCAAATCAGTCTCCATTAATTGCCCAGTCTCTCAAAGAGTCTCTCCCATCACCTCTGCGCGGCTCCTCTGTTAAGCTCCCAGTGTAAATATCGCGAGACACGCGGGCCGCGAGATTTACCCAAGGAGCAGGCCGCGAGATTTACTCAGGGAATAAGTACCGGTAATCGCTTCCGGTCCTCCCTCTGCACATCACCCCCTCCCTGGCCAAGTATGAAGTAGGGAGGGGGGGACAAAAAAAAAAAAGTTTAAAAAAATATTTAAATAAAATAAATAATAAAATAATAAACATGCCCAGTTGATGGGAGTCTGACTCCCTTTTCTAACTCCCTGTATATAATGCGTCAAAAAAGGGAGTCACTCCCATCAACCTGAGTCACCCTCTTGCACCTAAAATGCAGAGTGTGTGTATATAATGTAGAGTGTGTGCATTAATCAACTGGGCATTCATTGTGGAAGCGACCAGTCCATGGTGATAATGCAGGAGGCGGAGCAAGCAGCAACACTGAGAGTCTCGGCGCTGGAAAGGGTAATTAAACAGCTTCTTTTTTTTTTTTTTTAACAAATTTTTAGTTTGCAAAAAGGTTGGGGGTCTGAATCTCAATAGGGGATTCTGAATTTGTATTCTTAACGTTACAGTGTTTCTGTAGCGTTTAGTTTCTTACTTCTTTGACTGTTACATTTACTCTGCTAAATTTTCAGTGTTTTGTTTTCTTATTTTGATTCTGTACAGAAAGAAGGTTTGGCAATTGATGAGAATTCTCAGGTAACCAGTCCCATATACAGACTTGTCCTCGCCGGAGATGCTGGGTCAGGGAAATCCAGTTTCCTTTTACGTCTGTGTCTGAATGAGTTCAGAGGAGACATTCCTACCACTTTAGGTTCAGTTATAATATTTCATATTCTTATTATTTATGTTATATGTACTGTTAAATCTCGATCTCATACTGTTACATTTGTGGTTTTTTTTAATGTCTTTCTTACCTGAAATATTTTCAGTTTGTAAGTAAACCATTTGTGAACGGTTTCACAACTTACCTGAGTCTGCCAGGTGCCAGTAACTAGCTCCTACCCAGAAGCTCCATGCACTGCGATGCTGGGTATAGCTCATCAGCTGAAAGTACTCAGAGTGCCTAGCTCAGTGAAACTAATGGTGCAGCAAATTCTGTTTGAAGACGCGTAGGCAGCTGGCACTTAGAAGACCCCAGGTAAGTTGTCAGATTGTTTGCAAATGCTTGGGAGGCTGCCAGGGCAATCCTGTCACCATAACTACTACAGCAGGCTGTTGGGGTTATGGTGCTTGGAGTTTTCCTTTTAAGTGCTAACTCGGCATTGGAGACCACAGTCTAAATATGTAAAAATGGGACCATTAGCTAGGGGTGTGCAGAAAGTAAATGTACATTGAAATGTTTTTTCTTTTTCCTTTTCCATTTGTTTTCCATTATAAATGTCTATTTGTTAATTATTACCTAAGGGATTATTAGTCTAATTTAAACCCCAGCTGAACTAGTTCCCTCAGGAGTTTACATTTGAGCTATAAACAAGTTTCAGTATATTCGTCATGGTAAAATTATTCCTTAATAAATAATAATATTAAATGTTTGTATTCTGTCCCCAAGAAGCAGTCAATTGAAAGATTTTTGCCTATATCTGTTGGTAGTCTTCTGCGAGTATCTGTGTACTCCTATAGGCTAGAACACTGTTCTAGTTTGATATCACATTATTAATTTTTTTTGTCAGTCTTTGTTTATTTGTATGTTTATTTTTTTTTTCAAAAGTAGTAGGCGATACAGAAATAAGAAATAGAATAGCATTTAAACAACACATTAAGGTACATAAATTCGAGTGAATATATCCTTCAGGCTGCCCCCCCCGTCTAAGCATACACTTCGTGATTTAGGTGGCTGGGTACTTTTGTGCGTTGGTGAACGGAGCTCGTTTTGCGTGACCCCTAGTTATCTAATGCGCTGAGGTTCACTGCGCCTCATTTGGAAGGTATGGGAAGTCTATAGCGGTCCCGGTGTAGTGCGGGTCATGTGGGTAATCCGTCTTTTTCCGTAGAGACTCGTCTGTCATCTCTACCTATTGTCTGTCATACGTGTCATACACCCATGGGGGGTGGTGTGGGACTGTCTAATCTGCTTGCGAATGGAATAGATGCCTCCAGTTCATGTACCTTGAGGAAGAGTCCCCCGTATGTGTCCAAGGTATACCTCGCCTGCCGTACTTTTTTTTTTTCTTTTTTCTTTTTACATTTTTATTGAAGTATTGCAAGTGGTACAGAAAATTTTTGCAAGATTGTTGGTCCACATGACCACAGTGACAAACGTTTAAACATGTACAGTTGAGTGTCACATTCTGAACATTACATGAGTTAGCTTATATAACAGTTGAACCATTCATTTGAGTGTTTTAATATGGTTAAACAGAGTAGGTCTATTTGGTATTCTAGTCTGATCTACGTAGATTTTTCCCCTTTATTCTATTGTGTTGATGATTTCCTATTATGGTTGTGGGTCCCGTCTGGTGATCTGTTATACCTTTGTATCCTCATTTGGGCTGTCTGTTGTGCTGGTTTTTGGATTATCCCCTTGTTTGGAGAAGATGGAGGGGTGGGGGGTAGAGGAAGAATAAGTTTTTGCTTAAATGGGTTGGTTCCGCATATATTGGAGCCAAGGGTCCCCTATGGATGTGTATTGATGGTAGCGGTGTGTTAGAGAGTAGCATGTCTCTTCGAGGCTTCTTATGGTTTCCACTTTTTGTATCCACTCTCTCATTGTGGGTTCAAGTGGTTGTTTCCAGAGGGCTGGGATGAGCTGATTTGCTGCTATGATTAGGTGTACTAGTAGGGTTTTTTCATATTTTGGTATGTCTTGGGTGGGGGAGAAGGAATATGTATGTGCTGGATGTAATGGGATATGTGTCTGTAACACCTCAGAGATCATGCCAGCGACCCGCGTCCAGAATCTGCGGATCTCTGGGCATGTCCACCAGATGTGCGTCGTTGTCCCTTTTGGCTGATGGCATTTCCAACAATGGTCTGGTACTGTGGGAAAGAGAGCATGTAGCATGTGGGGTGTAGTGCCATCTAGCAATTCTTTTGTAGTTGCTTTCTTGTGTTATTGTATTTCTAGCGGATTTGTGTATTTGTCTGAAGATTTGTCTCCATTTGTCTCTAGGTATTTCTAAGCTTAATTCCTTTTCCCATGTTGTAGTGTAAGCCGGTAATTGGTGTGGATGTGTTGTTTGAATTATGGTGTACATCACCGAGATAAGTTTCTTTTTCAGGTCTTGTTTAGAGCAGTGTTGTTCAAACTCTGTTTGTGTTCGTTTAGTGCTGTGTGCTAGTGGGCCTGAGTGAACGAACTGTATTATTTGGAGGTATTGGAATTTTTGAATCGCTGTCTGTGTTTCTATGAGGTCCTGTATTGGTTTAACTTTTTGTCCCTCAGTAGTATCCAGTATTTCCCCTAGTGTGAGGTACGCTGCCCTCTGGAAGTGTTTTAGTGCTTTGCCCCTGGTTGAAAGAGAGGATTGTGTGAAATTGGATAACGTGGAGAAGGGTATGGTGATATCTGTTTATGTGTTCTCAGGGTCGCCCAAGTGCGTAAAGTAGGTGTGATTGTTGGGTGTGGGCCTGGTATCATAAGTGAGTGTCCTACTTTGTGCCATGGGATTGTATAGATGGGTGCCCTGAAGAATGTTGTTTCAATTGTTACCCACTGTTTCATGGTGTATGGGAGTGACCAATCATATATTCTAGTTAGGTGCACTGCTTTGTGGTATTTCTCCATATCAGGCAGGCCAAGGCCTCCATCATCTTTTGATCTTGAAAGAAGTGCGTATGATAATCGTAGGTTTTTATGTGCCCAGATGAAGGTCTTGAGTGTCTTTCGAACTGAGTTGAACCATGTCTTTGGTATTGATATGGGGAGAATTTGCAGCAGATATAGAATCCTGGGGAGAACATTCATTTTGAGAATGCTCAGCCTGCAGAACCATCCGAATTGTGGTTTATTGCATGTAGTGAGGTCTGTGTGTGTGGTTTTCATTAGATCTGGGAAATTTCTCTCGAATAGGTGGGAGGTGTCCTTGGTGATTTATATTTTGTGGGGCCCACGCAAACTGGTAATCCTTCTGTTGTCGTGTGTCGGTATGTGTATGGGGTGGATTTTGCATTTACTGAGATTTGCTTTAAAGTTGGATATGACGCTATATGTGTTCATTTCTTCCATTAGATGTTGTAATGAGTTAGTTGGGTTTGAGAGGGTAAAGAGCATATCATCAGCAAATGCTGCTATTTTATGCTCCTCTTTCCCCACTTGTATTCCTGCAATGTTGGTGTTGTCCCTGATTCCCTGTAAGAATGGCTCTAGGATGAGTATGAAAAGAAGGGGGGGAGAGCGGACCTCCCTGCCTGGTGCCATTTGTGATGGGCACCTGATCAGAGAGATGCCCATTGATCCTGATGTTGGCTGTGGGGTTTGAGTATATTGCACCAATCCACTTCATCCAATTTGGTCCAAATCCAAGATGTTGTAGTGTATATGACATCAATGTCCAGTCTACCCTGTCAAAAGCCTTTTCGGCATCTATAGACAGGAGTAGACTGAGTTACTTTGTTCTTGTGGCCTGGTGGACAAGATTGATCTTGGTGGTGGTATTTTTTGCCTCTCTGCCCGGGATGAAGCCAGACTGGTCGGCATGAATCAGCCCAGGCAGCAGAGGGCAAAGCCTGTTGGCTAGGATTTTCGCGAAGAGTTTGAGATCAATGTTTATTAGAGAGATTGGCCTATAACTACCGCATTGGGTTAGGTCTTTACCTGGTTTTGGTAGTAGGGTAATTGTGGCGTAGGGGGGAGGGAGTTGAGTTGAAGGATTTTATAAAGTGTGGGATAAGAGTTGTGGCAAAGGTTTTATAATATTTTGTAGTGAACCCGCCAGGCATCGTACAGTTGATATTTATCAAGGATTTTTTGTATTTGATTTCTCATTGAGGTCTGGTATGTCTGGGCTTGTGAGGTGGTGTCTAGTTTCCCATCAAGTGATACCGCCTCCCGTACTTTAGGCGCCCGAAAGAGGAGTGAAATGCCGTGCTGGTACCATTAATCGGGTTATCACTATTGGAGCATCAGCCGTGAATTAAGAGACCGAAAAGGTAGATGCATGCTATTAGGTAGGTTTAATAAGTTAGCTCCGCTGTACATATGTGAAGGAAGAGATAGAGGGGAGAAAGAGAGGCATTGGGGAATTAGTGATAGAGAGAAGGAAAGGGGGTGAGGAACGGGCTGGATTTGGATGCCCTGCCCCGGTCTCGCGGATCACCCCCATCCATCACGTTGCGAGCATGCTCAGGGCCCCTACTCCTCCTCTTACCCATCGGGTTGGTTTCCAGGTTCGTCCCTGTTGCACAGGTAGTACGTCCACGTCCTCCAGATCTCCTGGTGTTTCTCCAGCCTTCCATTCACCGCCGCTATTTCGGCTACCACTTGCCTGATCTCCTCCACTCTCTGGAGCCAGGCTTGGAATGTTGGTGGCTGTTTCTGCCACCACAGTGCTGGGATCAGCGATTTTGCTGCCGTTAGGAGGTGCCGGGACACCGTTTTCTTATACCTCGATATGAGTAGGTCTGTTCTGTTGAGTAAGATATCTGCCGGGTCAAAAGCAACCTCCTCCTCAGCCACCCTCCACATTGCCTCGTATATTTGTAATATCACATTATTAACATGCCATTCACCATTTCCACTTTACATACTTAACGTTTATTTATTCATTTCTATTGGTACTATGATACTTTGGCATTTGGTTTGGTGGGGAGTAGGCCAGTACTAAAAAGACACATTCCAAACCGACACCTCCATCCTAGTTTTATTATCTTTTATATTATCTTTTATCAGAATAATTTTTATTGAATAAACCTCAAGAACATCTCTAGTGCTTTTTAGCTATCTCTCATAAGTAAAGTTGGCTTAGAATTTGTTGTTTTCTGATTAGGACTTATTGAGGTTTACATGTAAAGATTGATTATGGGGCAAATGGTTTTCCTTCCTCTAATGAAATAGTTGTTTATTTGACTAAGAAGCATAATGTGGAACTTTCATCCCCATTGGAACATTCTCAGCTGCTGTAGTTTGTTGTTCACAAATGAAAGGAAAAAAAATAAATTAATTAAAAAAACAAAAAAAAAACCCAGACCTCGATCTTTAAAGAGTTTTCTTTGATGAAATCACTATGTTTTCAGCTTTGTGGACCGATTGGCATCCCTCCTGCTGCAAGTATTAACCTTTCATTCTTTCTTAGGAGTTGATTTTCAGATGAAGAAACTCTTGGTGGATGGTGATCACACGACATTACAGATCTGGGACACAGCTGGTCAGGAAAGGTGTGTGAAAACCTTGAAACTACATTCTTATCTGCATAGATAAGGACTGTTTGTGCAAAAATAGCACTCTGATATAATACAAAAATGCCTGCTTTTAAAGGGAAACTCAAGTGTAAAATTCTAGATTTTCATAGAGCAGGAGTTCTTAAACACAGTTTGGATCTTGACCAAAGAGTTTATGTGTTCCAAGTTTGGCAGGACAGAATCCTCCTATTCAGCAGCCTCAAGGCAACTATCCACAAAATACATTGTTCACTGTAGTAGAATTACAAGGCCGTGTAGAATAATTTTGTTAATGTTTTTAAAGGAACACTCCAAGCACCACAACCACTGTAATGGATTTGTTGCCAGGAATGCCTTGGTGTTCCCTCGCTGTAAGTAGATAAACTGTATTGGAATGGTTTAACTTCTTCCCTGGGGTCTCCAAGTTGCCAGTCCCCTCCTGTACTTCTTCTGCCAGAAAGCCTGAATCTCCTAAGCAACTTCTGAATGTCAACTGATTGCTTTCAGCCAATGAGCTAAGCTGTGCACTGCCAGGATTAGCTCAACCAGAGTTTCAAACACACAAAAACGTAATCCTAGGGCAGCAAGGGACAGCTCACCTACAACAAATTAAGTCATAGCTTAAAGGAACACTATACCGTTGGGAATACATGGAAACGTATTCCAAGCGCTATATTGACTTTTTACTGGTTCGGGTACTAACCCCTTGAATGATCAAATTTAATTATAACATTCAGATTGCAGACTATTTAGCACCTTACTCTGGTTATCATTTATATGTATCACTGCAGGTTCCGCAGTATTGCAAAGTCATATTTCCGCAAAGCACACGGCGTCCTTTTGATGTACGACATCACTTCAGAAGCTAGTTTTCTCAATGTGCGGCAGTGGATTGATGAGATTAAGGTATGTGACTTCTGTTTGTTTAATATTTTTTGGTTTTGTTATTATTTTGACAGTGGGCATATAAAGAAACCCTGTGTACATAAAATATATGTATCATATGAATGATTTCTGAAATAGAATTGTCTACATGTGTTGGTGTTTCCTGTTATTTTCTAATGAATTTAGAAAACAAACTATTATTTAATCTGTGCTGTGACAGTGAAGGCATTTACATTTTAAACTCCTCATAATCTTCTTCATTTTATTTATTCTTTTTTATTTTTATAGTCTACGTATTAATATATATTTTAAGTCACGAGAACTGTGTTCTTGAGTGCCCTTTGCAGCATCAGATGGGTATATGCCAAGTTCATCACTGTATCCAACGCACCCTCTTATTTCAGAAGTGCAACCTAAAACACTTGAATTCACCAAACATTTATTAAAATCATGGATTAAGACAGTCATGAGAAATTATTAAAGTCAGTGAAGAAATGTAAGAGGGGCTAGCCAACTTCCAGGGTAGCCAACAGTGATGCATTTATTGGTTATTGACTGCCCTTACACACTTTGTCCCTCCTTATTCAACTATCATATCTCATTAATACGTAGATACACCATCACAATCCTGCCTCCCCCGGCCCAGCCCTAGTCGATCCAATCCTACAATTCACCTGTTAGCCCATCTCAGAGCTGATTTGAGTAATACAGTCCAACCCCAGCTTGGGACAAATACTCATGCTAAATCCTGGCAAGTCATCTACTTTTAAGTGGTCAATACAAAGCTGTAAAGGGCAGAATTTCAAGCTGAGAGTTGAACAGTGTTTTATTCAGAGACCTTTGATTTGTATTTCTTTTAACTTGTTCTATTATTGTTATAGAACTCATCAGACAAGCCTATGCCAATGATGCTAATTGGCAATAAAACCGATATGAGGTCTGTAAACAAAGAATCTGCTGTCATTCACACATCCATGGGTGAAAAACTGGCTATGGTAAGCAGGCCTATGCTGCAAATCTTATGTGGGTCAATTAGACAAAAATGTTTTTATCAGGGTATCCTAATTCAATCATGTGTTACAGGCCTATGGCGCCCTTTTCTGTGAGACAAGTGCCAAGAATGGGACCAATGTAGTGGAGGCTGTCCTTCACCTTGCAAGGTACGTAATGTGGAAAAGTGTGTTGTTATATGGACCCATCAAAGAGACACGTTTAATGCATTGATTACAGAATTGCAAATTGCACCTAAAAATCGATGATTTGGAAAAAATTGTATAACTACACTGTATTCACAGCTTGGCAAGTTTAGCCTGAAATTGATCATCTGGGTTTTAATTTGCAACAACTCCTGTTATATTTTGTGAATAACCCTGCTATGTTTTCAAGGTAATACAGATTAAGGAACCGCGCACACATAAAAATGCATTTTAAAATTCTATAAGACTACTTAAAACTACTTGAATCCCCTATCTCCGCAAACAAATATGGGGGTTCAGTTCTGCCATATTGTGTTAAGCCCACCACTGCTTCACAGTACCCCAATATCAGTGGGTCCTGCACTAATTCAAACAATTCTAGTGTTTATGAAGGCTGTTTGTCACATGCAGGGAGGTGTGGCTAGGGCTGCGTAAACAAAGTTATTTAACTCCTAAATGGCAGCGAAATTGAGCAGTGAGACTGCAGGGGCGTGTCGTATACACCAAAACCACTCCATTTAGCTAAAGTTCATTTGGTGACTATAGTGTCCCTTTAATCACTTGTCTTCAGTAAACAAATATTTGAATTTAAATACATCCGTTTGGTTATATTGTGTTTAGTTTACAACTCAGTCAAAGTATTCCAATTTTAATAGGCCTTAACCTAACCCCATTTAAACGTGGGATAAAAATAAACCACAGGTTTCATCACTTGCTTTCATTGCAGCTATACCTGCTCCAAGAAGCCTTCCTACAATTTCAATAATTTTCAGTAATGCACACAACAGCCATTTCTCAGTAGGAAACAAGAATCAAAGTACGCGTGGATGTCAGTACAGAGTAAAATACATATTACATATTAAATGTTACTGCTCAGCTATCAAACTCTAGGATTTAAGCACTGCAGACACATTGTGTGTTGTAAGTAGTGATGCTGGAGGATAAAGCACAACAACCCTACCTTCATGTGTATAATTATCATGGTTAGTTACTAAAGTGAGAATTCAAAGTGAATTCTAGATTAAGGCCAGAGTAGCACAATGACAATGGCAGGATATCCCAAAACGCAGAGTAAGCACCTGCCTACAAATGCCTGGCAGGTGGGGAGATAAATACCAGAAGTCATGGTTATTGTCCGCTGTAGCAGAGTCTGCTTTAATATCAGCGCTGCAGGAACTGTTGCGGAGGACTACCAGGAGGTGGGTGTTACAAGAAGAGCAACACCCACAAAGTGGCACTGTAACAGAGGAAAAGTTACTAAATCTATATTTTTCACATTGAGTACACCATGTATCTGTGTGATATATGGTATATGCAATCTGTATGGATTGGTGTATGAATGGCTAAGGTTTTTTTTTTTTAACCCTTTGTGTGCCGGGGGTTCGAGGATGGGGAATCCAGAGGCCACCATAGTGATAGGAATACAGATTTGTATTCCTAAATCTTAAGCCCACTTTACTCTAACCACTACTAACATTATCTTGTACCCGGCGTGTTTACACAGCTGCATAAATGCACTATACTAACAGATTCAAACACATTATATTATAAGTAGAAATATGCACATACATACATTTGTACATATGCAGTTATTAAATATGATTTAATTTTTTTTATGTTTTTACGCCTGCACAATCCATCTAATACATTAATTATACTTCTTTATATGCCTTTTATTCAGTTAGGTCGGCTTAGAATTTTATATATATCCAGCCCTGAGAATGGAAAGCATAGCAGAATTTCCCCATTTTGGCTATTTTGACCTTAAATGTGAAATTCATTTTGACATTTCACTTTAGTGACTAATCCTGTAGGACAGTGGTTGCCCAAACAGCGGATCCCCAGATATTGTAGAACTACAACTCCCATGATGCTTGCATGCTTTTAGAATGACAGAGCATCATGGCAGCTGTAGTTTTAAAACATGTGGGGATCTACCTTTTGGGCACCCCTGCTGTAGGATCTCTGGGCTTGCATGTGACATACTCATGTAATGTGCTCTGATTGCTATGTTTAGTACTGAACCAGGTTATGTACAGTACATTTTAGGGAGTGAGATTAGTGGACCCAAAATGTCTTGTATGTGACAATGGCCTTACAGGATCCACAGAGACTTCTGTGCTTGAAAAAGTAATATGGCTGACCAGGACCGATCCTGGGGTCACTGATGCCTGGAGTTCAAGAATATTTTTCGCGCCCCCCTGATGGGTGTGGCTATATTGCTAACTCCTGCCCTTTACAAACATAACACTTCTAACCAAACCCAATTTCTATGGAAACCACACACCCTCAACCCAGGTCACATGTCACATACTTCCTACAGTGCCAGCTATGCCCCCAAAAAGCTTATTAGTGCCATATTTGTGCCCAGCTTCCCGGGGCCGCATCTGTCCCCATGTGGCTTCCCAGTGCCATCTTTGTCTGAAAATGGCTAATCAGTGCCATCTCTCTGTCCCAATATAGCGGAGTGCCATCTTAGTCTCGAAATATTTATTTCCCCATCTTCTCAGTGCCATTTTTGTGCCCAAATCGCTGATCAGTGTCATTGCTGTCTCAAAATTGCTAATCCATGACATTTCTTTTTCAAAACAGCTTACCAGTGCCATCTTGTCCTCAGAGGGCTTGTCAGCTGGTAGTGTTTTTGTATGAACTGTGTGTAAGGTGGTTGTATTTTGCAGAGTCAATGTATTTGTAATGAAGAAATGTATTTACAGATGTATGTGAATTCAAATGAATATTTGTGTATAATAATAATGTGTGCAGATGCAGTTATTAAATTTTTTTTTAAATAAAATGTATTTGTAAGATATGTGTATGAGTGTCCTTCACTGGACGTTACGGTGTGTGCATGCATTGTTGTTTTCAGCAGTATGTTTGTTTATTTTTCTGAATGTCCCTGGGTGACTTATGTCACCATTCTCTTCCACTTTTGACTCTATCCCATCCCCAGGGGCGTTGCTATGTGGACTAGGTACTTAAGCCCCAAAAATACATTTGATATTTGAAAACCCCTCCCATAGCTGACATTAAGCTTGCCCAATAATCCACCTCAGCCATACCATAAAAAAGAAAATGATGAAATGCTGCCACCTCTACTAACCATAAGCATGCACACCAAAACACGACCACATCAATTATTGTGTGTACGTGCGTGCGTGCGTGCGTGCGTAATGCGGTGTGTTTTACAATTTTAAAATGTAAAAAACACCCACAATTTGTTTTAAATGTTTTCAAGAATATTCATTCCACAAATATGTAAACTGTATGTTAAAAAAAGTCTCCTCAAGGGCCCCATTAGAGACTACAATAGAGGGTGTTCTCTAAAATGCTAGCCCCCATTTCCAATATAGTGATATAACAAAGCTCTGTGATGCCCAGCTTAAACTGTCTCTTCTCACGTTAACTACTGTTGCTGGCTGCTGTGACTGGCAGGCTGTTTTTGGCCGGCTGCTGTGGCCAGCTGGCAGGCTGGTTGGCAGGCCGGCTGGCTGCTGCTGGCAACTGTGGCAGGCATCTATTTCTACCACCAATCCCTTTGTGTGTCTTATTTCCCCCTCCCTTCTGTGTGTCTCACCCCCCAGCCCTTCTGTGTGTCTGTTCATCCCCGCAGCCCTTCTGTGTGCCTCTTTGTCTCCCTAGCCCCTTTGTGTGTCTCTCTTCCCCCTCCAGCCAATTTGTGCATCTGTTTCTACCCCAACTCCTTTGTGTGTCTTTTTCCCCTTCCCCAGCCCCTCTGTGTCTCTTTTTCCTTCTGTGTGTTTGTCTCCCCTCCTGTCTGCTTATGTAGCCCCCCATCCCTTCTGCGCTCTTTAGTGCCCGCCCCCCGTCCCTTTATGCAGCCCACCTTTCTCTCTTTCTGTGCCATCTATAGCCCCTTCCTCTTCCCTGTGATTGCTCAACTTCCATCTTTACCTTTTAGCCCAGCCAGCCTTCCAGGAGCTCTGAGGGCCTTCAGACAAAAGGTGGAGGTTAGCGAGGGGGCAGAGCCTACCACCGCAATGCACCTCTACTCACAGAGCGCTTTGGCGCTGTGGACCCAGTGCACCCGCCCAGGATCGGCTGTATGGCTGACTTAATATACTGCACAATTTTTAATGGTTACTTAAATACACATCATGCTGCTCCCTTTCCCATCTGGCACGGAGGGGGCTGGGACATTGGTTAGTAATCACCAGCATGATTTGTGTACTGATGACTGATGCCAAATATGCACAGGTCTAATACGATGTTAAATCTGGAGTTACATAATGTGGAGATACATATCCAACAGCAATAAGCTGAAGAGCTGCACATACAAACTCCAAGCACCATGACCACTTCAAATCACATGTTCAGTGGTGGACACATCCCTTGCTATCATAAATATCATGTGACTTCCTCCATTCCACGTGGAACAATTATGTTACATAAAACTGTTGTTTTCTTTGTAGGGAAGTTAAGAAGACTGTGGACCTAAAAGAAGAAAATGCAGAATCCGTAACCAAGCTCAGTATTCCAGAGAAGAAGACGAATTGTTGCAAGATCTAGTCTTGTTGCAAGGAGGACCTTACAGTATAAAACAACCTAAAAATGAAGGATTGTATAATGATTGGGTCCATGTAATATTTTCTGCGACTTATCTTTTTTTAATGTTTTCACTCCCTAAAAATTTGCTATGCACAAAAAAACTTTAACACAACACATCTCACATTCGTCTTGATGTGAAAATATGCAAACTCTGGCCCTGTGGTTACAGCTCTCACTACGTGGCTGGGGACTTGCAATTAAACCGACACTGGGTAAATTACCCCTTTAAATGACTAACTGCTACGAAGAACAATATATCACTTAAACTGACCAACTGCTACAAAGAACAATGTCACTTCTGAAAAACCATGTTGTCTTCTGTCTAAAAACTAGTAAAGGTTTGTTCACAGTTGATGACACAAATGGAAATTGTCCATTGATCAATGGATTGGTGACAATTTCACGTACTTGAATTTTAGAATATTTTTTTATATATTTACCAAATTAACTGTTGGATCGTCATTGAATACCTAAATACCTAATTGTTTACAGTTTTTGTAAAATATTTTTACTGTTGTATTTAACATTACTGCATGTTTTGTCCGGAAATGACTGACAAAACTGTTATACCAGACTCCTCTATGAGGCTTTGAATTTGTGATTTTCCTACTTAAATATTCAGGGCAGCACTAGGCTGGTATAGGGTTGGTAAGAGATTTTTTTATTTTTTTTTTTTAAATAAAAATTTTCAGCTCCAAAATGAAACTTTTTTTTTTGTCCCTTAACAGACTTTCCAACAGACCAAGGATTAAACCTCAGGATATGCTTACTTTGTAAGCACTCATTTAGAGTGGACAAAAGTACTAGCACCTTTTAAGATTACCTGTTTTTTTTGTTTTTTGTTTTTTTAACAACTGGTGGTGGAAATTAACAAAGTTTTAGTGAAGGATAAGTATTTTTTTTTAAATTGTTTAACATTAATTTGGGGTATTTTTTTGTTTATACAAATTGTCCAGAAAGCTGAAGGCAACCATTGGCGTTTCAACTGTTCAAAATACAATTTGTTGCTTTTCACCCGACTTTTTATGCTATAAATATATACATATAAAATAAAGATTTTATTTCTTTTAGCAAACTGTTCTGTATGTCCTGATCATTCTCACAAAACTGTTATTTCCACTAGTGTAGTGCCACAAATACCCATTCTAGAAGTGGAGTGATATTGGCTAATGCAGGATGGTTTTAAGGTGTCTGAATTCGAACAGCAGGGATTCAGGGAGTGCTATGTACAAATGGTTACTAACACATTAGAAGGGTGTGTTTTTTTTTTTTTTTTATCATTATTTTGGGGCTATGGCTTATAGCTTTGTGATCACTGTAGCCCCTTTTACTCCATAAAAGTAAAGTTTACTCTCCTAGTTTGCATCACATTAACTACTCTGCTGCAGCCTCCAGCTCCTTCTCTGTGATGTCATCATTCAAGTTAACATCACCCTCGAACTTGAAGAAATAGCATGGAATAAAGCATGAGCTGCCAAACTCCACACTGCTCCAATCAAATGCTGCCATCAGTTTCACTTGGTTCTGGAGGAGGTAGTGCCTGTACTGGCCGTCAGGAAGACAAGGCATGTTTACCCCTTCCATGTTAACATAGCAGTTCCTACAAAAATGACAGGAACACTGCAGCCAGACCACGTCATTGAGATGAAATGCTCTGGGTAACTTTTAGGAGTCCTTTCATTTTTGTCAGTTGTGTTGAGGGTGTATTATATCTATTGGGTTAAGGCAGAATAGTTCGATTTGTGTTATTGCAGGTTCCTGGCTGTAAACTAAGGTAATGCGATGACAAGGACCCTTTAACTCACAGTACAATTTGATCTTCAAAAGTAGAAAAACCACAGGCAGCACTCCAGGATAAATAAAGGTAAGTTTTATTTGTGGGTTCACCGCCTCACCAAAAAAATAAGGGCGATGTTTCGGCTCAGCACATCCTTAATCATGCATAAGGGATACAACATTACCAAAGTGTTTAAATAACCCCAAGCCCAATTAAGTTCATTGAAAAGTAGCACATGTTAAAAGAGACATGCATAAGTAACATATCAAACAAGACATGGAGCATGTTCGAGCAAAGTGTTGATCTAAAATGGTACAGTAACCAATTATAATATAACGATCTACAGTTTAACGTTCCATAAAATAAGATGTCCTACTTAATACAGCAAGATAAACTGGCATATAATACATGAAGCAAGCTTCAAGTTTAATATGAAGTCTAGGGGATAAAGTGTCTTACTTTGGCTTAGTCACTTTATCCCCTAGACTTCATATTAAACTTGAAGCTTGCTTCGTGTATCATATGCCAGTTTATGCCTTTACACTTTTGTAATGTTGTATTTCTTATGCATGATTAAGGCTCTGCTGAGTGGGAAAAAAAAACTTACCTTCATTATCCTTTAGTACTGCCTCTGTTTTTCTACTTTTGAGACTGCATTGGTGGATTCAGTGGTGTCCTTTACACGGGGCGCCTCCTTGGTGAAAGACCGGAGCACTCATGCGGAAATTGAATGCAGAGTATACTATTTTACTATTTCTGCAGTACAATTTGATCTTGTCAGCATTCTCTTACTGAGACCCAAATGCTTTATTTTATTTAAACCAGTCATTCAACACATCTGACATCAAGCGTTTGATAATTGGTTCTGTCCTATATTACATGACTCACGCTATATCTATATATATATTTACTGTTTAGACTGGCATGGTATTCCAGTGTTGCAATTCACAATTGCTAAATAAAAGGTTGACTGCATACAACAAGGGTGGGGAGCCTTTTGGGATATCACATCATTTGCAGCCAAATAAAAATTTCAACTCAACTTAAAAATTAGCCTGCTATATTTGATCAAACATTTAATTAACTCACCCCTAATGTGATGGCTGTAACTGCGCCTTAATTCCCTTGAACTCACAGTTAACCAATATAAATGGCATTAGGGCTATTACACACACACACACTATTAATAAATATATATTCTCTCTCAGCAAATGGTATATATATAAAAAAGTCAAGGGTTAAAAAAAAAAAAAAAAAAAAATTAGCTTTGGTGCTCAAAAATAGAATAGATAATTGAGAAAAATAGAGCGTTATCAAAAGTAAAGTTCAGTTTTGAAAAGCAGTACAAACATTTAAAAAGTCCACAATGAAATGTGCCTTCTGGTTCCACAGGTTTGCATGGTGATTGCCAAACTTATTTTGATAACACTGATAAATTCCCCATATTCTGCTGATCCATGACCACATCTGGGATGAGAATAAACTACTTTTCAAAGAACCTAACCATTATCTCCCACCCTAAAAGCATTAGAAGACTAATATTTACACATAAGTAATGATGCATTGGTAATTGAAGTGAACTCACTAGCTAAAACCAGTTTCATTGCAAACACTATATACACACACACACACACACACACACTTATCAGGAATATCAGACTTTAAAAGGGCTTTATCACCAGAGATTGCTAAAGGGGATGAAGAATTTTGCAGGGGTCGTGCTAGTTGAGGGAGCAGTAACCTCAAATGGCATTGAGCTAGTATAGTCCCATGTACATCACTAACACAAATATCACCACCTCATGATAGCACATAGCAGAATCATTGCAACACTCGTTTTTCTGAGGATCTTCAAACGACTGCAAGAGAAGAAAAATAAAACTGCATATTTTAATTACAACATGGCCTGGGAGAACCACTAAATTACATCAAAATATTCTTCTGACTTGATCATTTTAATTGTCACCTGGTCATTGATACTCTGAGAATGTTTTTTACCAGATCAACTGTACCACACAAATTGTGGGTGTCACCATATAAAAACGCACTATTCACGGAAAAAAAGTCACTTTATTTAAGATTTGACTCGGTCCATCGAAAATACAAAAACGACAGGTAACTTCCATTTCAATGAAGGACCTTGCTGTCGTATACTCTCTTTGAACACGTACATCCTAGAGCTGACTTAACCAATGCTAGATCAGCATGCAGGAGACTGCAATCAGCTAGAAAAACACAAAAGGGAAACAAACAGGGGACTGAACGCTGTTCAGGATTGTGATAAAGTGGCGTATTTATAATATGTACATGAGGCAAAGAGGAACTATGCTACTCGTTTATGAATTAAAAGAAAGGAAGGTTGAAAACAATGCACTGCAAAGACTCTGCATTGGAACAAACAGAAGCATTTAGTTGAATGTTTGTGTCTGGGAGCTGGGGTTTTCATTAGATCTCCATCCATTCGTCAGATTATCCCACAAAGGCTATTTGGGCTCTTCTTTTTTCATCTGCGCCTTTTTCTGCTTCTCTTGCATTATCTGAGCATCCCTAATTTAACAAAAATAAAGTTAGAGAAAAGTGTAGCTTACATAAACAACTGGTTATGATAGCACTACTCAAAATTAGCTTACAATCTAAACATTCTTAAAATTTGTCAACTTCTCTAACCTCACACCAAGAAAAGTCTATTTCTCACCATTTTAAAACACTAACAAGATATAACAGCACCAAGCCATACTCTCCATTTCCCCATAGACAGGTGTGTGTGTCATGGTGATCATTTTTGTGCAGTATTGATCTGACTGACCCACTGTTTACAACTATTCTATGAAAAGGCATTGGATTGGCTGAGATCTTCGATTCGGATAATCTCAGCCAAGGAGGCGGATCGGGGATGGGGCCCATGCCAGCAGACCAGTTTGACACTGGAATAAAAACACGCTTTTATCCTATTTAAGGGGGCCAATCGAGACTAAACGAAGCACTATAGAGTTCCTTTAATCATAATTACCAAATGCTATTGTACTGGTTATAGTGATATTAGGTCCTCAAAGTATGGCATCTACTTGCCAAAATTGTAAATGTGCAATATCAAGTTCATTTAGGTCAATCCACAAAAAAAAAAAAAAAAAAAATAAGTCAGGGTGTCTCAGAACACGAGGGCTGCGCCTGCAGCTTTACCAGTTTTAGCAATAGCATATTGTTTCGTTAATGGGTGGGTACAAGAATTGCTGATTTTAAAGGTCATACCTCTCCTTTCGTGCCGCAGCTGACAAACCATCATCTTGCTTCTTTTTGCTGTCTGCAGTTTTTTTCATGTTCTTTGCCCTAGCAAGTTCACGCTGGTTTCCACCTGCAGAATAAGTGGTATTGATCAGAGGCAGTAGCACATTCATGAAGAGTAATCTCACAGTAAGCTTAGTCATCTTGACAGTCATTTAAAAAGGTATAGGGATCAACGGACTATCGGTCTGGCTGATATTATTGCCCAATATTCTGTATTTTTAGCAATATCGGTATTGGCCAATAAAAATACTGATATTGCAGACAATGCAGACCAGGGCTGCCATCAGGGTCCTGGGGGGCCCAGCACGCTCTTACTTACCTTCCCAACAGCATCCGTTTAACTGTCGTGAGTCCCGCGGCCGTCAGAGCGCTGCCACGAGTTACCATGGCATCGCTCCGCAGCACGCAGTCCGCGAGAGTTAGACAGGGGAGCTGAAGGGAAGGTAAGTAAGAGTGTGCTGGGCCCCCAAGGGAATGCCATAGGGGGGACTTTAAAAAAAATTAAAGTTATTTTACACACATTACATACCTACACAAACTGCATTCATTTTACACACTACAGACACACAAACACACACTGTCCATTTATTACATACACACTACACAAACACTCTGCATTCACTAATCAAATAGTCACGGCATGCGCACGCACACACACAAATTCCTGAAAACAAAAAATTCTGACTGGCATGCATATTTTGTGCATTTACCTTAATAAGAAAGATTTGCAAAAAAATACAGTAGATTTTTGTAGAAATAGTTTATTTTTTTAAATGTACAGAATATCAGTAACTTATCAGCTACAAAGTTCACAGATTATCGACATCGGCTTAAAAAAAAACAAAAAAACAAACACAATAAAATCAGTCGATCTCTAAAAAGGTACAAAAAAAAAAAAATCTAAATGTGATTTGTTGCTTAAAAGGGACTCTGTAGGCAGACAGACTACTTCATAAAGAAATACTGGAAACATGGCAAAAATTGTGCTTACTTCAGACAGATTAAATAATTGAATCTATTTCTGTCAGAAAGTATGGTGGAAAATACAAAATGTAAATAATGCGATTCAGCATCTATGCCCCAAAATCACTTAAAGGACCACTATAGTGCCAGGAAAACACTCGTTTTCCTGGCACTATAGTGCCCTGAGGGTGCCCCCACCCTCAGGGTCCCCCTCACGCCCGGCTCTGGAAAGGGGTTAAATCAAGAGCTGCGCACGCATTCAGCCGGTCACATAGGAAAGCATTCATAATGCTTTCCTATGGACGCTGGAGTGCTCTCACTGTGAAAATCACAGTGAGAAGCACGCAAGCGCCTCTAGTGGCTGTCAATGAGACAGCCACTAGAGGAAATAGGGGAAGGCTTAACCCATTCATAAACATAGCAGTTTCTCTGAAACTGCTATGTTTATGAAAAAATGGGTTAACCCTAGCTGGACCTGGCACCCAGACCACTTCATTAAGCTGAAGTGGTCTGGGTGCCTAGAGTGGTCCTTTAAGTAAATTCTTAAGGGACACTACAGACATCAGAACCACTACAGCTTAATGTAGTTCCGGTGTCTGTTGCTTATAGCTGCAGACCTTTCAATGTAAACACTGTCTTTTCAGAAAAAAAGGCAATTACACCATTTTGTACACTTTGAGGTGGCACAGGCATTCAGGACCCCAGGTAAGTTGTTAGTGTTCTCCTGTAGAAGGCAATTGCCACCACAAAGTTTAACATGGCCAATGCACAAATCCCAGAAGCAGAACACACAGCTGCTCGAAAGGGTTCAAGTAAGTTGCCTAAACAGCACTAAGATGTTTGACAATTTACACCATGAAAGTTTGTGGTAGAGGTTAATGGGCTTAGAGTTTTCCCATTAAAAAGGGACACAAATTAATTGACACTTTTTTTTTAAATTAGAAAGCAAATATTTTAAAACAGATAAAAAAATTTAAAAAAAAGAAACTTAGAAGAGTATGTAAGGTTTTAAAACGTATTACAAACTTAGATTGAATTGTTGAGCATTTTGCAGAGTATATGTCCTCTATCTTGGTGGGGGGGGGTGTATATTTCCTCTATCTTGGTGGTGGTGGTGGGGGTGTGTATATTTCCTCTATCTTGGTGGTGGTGGTGGGGGTGTGTGTATATTTCCTCTATCTTGGTGGTGGTGGTGGGGGTGTGTATATTTCCTCTATCTTGGTGGGTGGTGGTGGGGGTGTGTATATTTCCTCTATATCTTGGTGGTGGTGGGTGGGGGTGTGTATATTTCCTCTATCTTGGTGGTGGTGGTGGGGGGTGTGTATATTTCCTCTATCTTGGTGGTGGTGGTGGGGGTGTGTATATTTCCTCTCTATCTTGGTGGTGGTGGTGGGGGTGTGTATATTTCCTCTATCTTGGTGGTGGTGGTGGGGGTTGTATATTTCCTCTATCTTGGTGTGGGGGTTGTATATTTCCTCTATCTTGGTGGGGGGGTGGGGGTATATTTCACTCTATCTTGGTGGGGGTATATTTCCTCTATCTTGGTGGTGGGGGTATATTTCCTCTATCTTGGTGGTGGTGGTGGGGTGTATATTTCCTCTATCTTGGTGGTGGTGGTGGTGGGGGTGTATATTTCCTCTATCTTGGTGGGGGTGTATATTTCCTCTATCTATGTATATTTCCTCTATCTTGGTGGGGGTGTATATTTCCTCTATCTTGGTGGGGGTGTATTTCCTCCTATCTTGGTGGGGGTGTATATTTCCTCTATCTTGGTGGGGGTGTATATTTCCTCTATCTTTGGTGGTGGTGGTGGGGGTGTATATTTCCCTCTATCTTGGTGGTGGTGGTGGGGGGTGTGTATATTTTCTATCTTGGTGGTGGTGGTGGGGGTGTGTATATTTCCTCTATCTTGGTGGTGGTGGTGGGGTGTGTATATTTCCTCTATCTTGGTGGTGGTGGTGGGGGTGTGTATATTTCCTCTATCTTGGTGTGGGGGTTGTATTTCCTCTATCTTGTTGGGGGGTTGTATATTTCCTCTATCTTGGTGGGGGTATATTTCCTCTATCTTGGTGGTGGTGGGGGGTATATCCCTCCTATCTTGGTGGGGGTGTATATTTCCTCTATCTTGGTGGTGGGTGGTGGGGGTGTGTATATTTCCTCTATCTTGGTGGTGGTGGTGGGGGTTGTATATTTCCTCTATCTTGGTGTGGGGGTTGTATATTTCCTCCTATCTTGGTGGGGGTGTATATTTCCTCTATCTTGGTGGGGGTATATTTCCTCTATCTTGGTGGTGGTGGTGGTGGTGGGGGTGTATATTTCCTCTATCTTGGTGTGTATATTTCCTCTATCTTGGTGGGGGTGTATATTTCACTCTATCTTGGTGGGGGTGTATATTTCCTCTATCTTGGTGGTGGGGGTGTATATTTCCTCTATCTTGGTGGTGGGGGTGTATATTTCCTCTATCTTGGTGGTGGGGGTGTATATTTCCTCTATCTTGGTGGTGGGGGTGTATATTTCCTCTATCTTGGTGGTGGGGGTGTATATTTCCCTCTATCTTGGTGGGGGTGTATATTTCCTCCTATCTTGGTGGGGGTGTATGTTCTCTCTATCTTGGTGGGGGTGTATATTTCCTCTATCTTGGTGGGGGTGTATATTTCCTCTATCTTGGTGGGGGTGTATATTTCCTCTATCTTGGTGGGGGTGGGTGTATATTTCCTCTATCTTGGTGGGGGTGGGTGTATATTTCCTCTATCTTGGTGGGGGTGTATATTTCCTCTATCTTGGTGGGGGTGTATATTTCCTCTATCTTGGTGGGGGTGTATATTTCCTCTATATATGTCCTCTATCTTGGTGGGGGGGGGGGTGTATATTTCCTCTATCTTGGTGGGGGGGTGAATAAGTTATACAGATCTCACTATGTGCTGGGGATACACTGCCCCCATTGCTGTCCCTGGGATGGAGGAGGTGGAGGACATGGTGTTGGTAGCCGGTGTCTCAGTGCCAGGCTGGCGGTAGGTGCCGTTAGGTCGGTCATGCAGTCACTTTAACTCCCATTCCCGGTCCCCAGTGAGGGCAGTGTCTCCGCCCGGGGAGCCCAGTGTCTCCGGCCGCTCCCGGGGAGCCCAGTGTGGGCAGTGTCTCCGCCCGGGGAGCCCAGTGTCTCCGCCCGGGGAGCCCAGTGAGGGCAGTGTCTCCGCCCGGGGAGCCCAGTGTGGGCAGTGTCTCCGGCCGCTCCCGGGGAGCCCAGGCCCGGTTGACGTGGCAGTACATTCTGCGCTCCCCGACCCCCAGCCGGCTCCCCCACACCTCACCTGCCACCGAGAACCAACTACACTGCCCCCCGCCCGGCCCCGCACTCACGGGTCATCTCTCCGCTCTCCCGTCACTCGCTCCCGGGGTAGATACCAACTTCCAGCTCGGTCCGCAGTGGGCCACTATCAGCGGGAATCTGATTGGCTAGCGCAAATCACGTGGGGCTGGGCGAGACTTGAATCACCACTGAACAACTATTTCTAGTGTGTTCCACACACGTCCCGCCCCTTTCCTGGGGAACCAATAGCAATCCAGGGGGCGTGTCTATAAGTCTGTCACACACCTATTGAAGTCCTGCAATAAGTGGGCGTGGTCAGCAGTAGGGGTAGGGATGTTCAATGCTGTTTATTAGAGTTGGCACTTTTGTTATTGAAGGGAATCGGATACTTCCATAGCTACCAAGTGTCCCTATATATGAGGGACAGTCCCTATATAGAGCTCAAAGCCCTCTGACCTGCTTGTATAACATAATGTATTTCTATATTTATTCAGAGAGCGTTACAAGTTATGCAAAAATAACCATGGTAATTATACAAACAGGGTAAATATTGATTGTCTAACAAAAGGAGAAGAGAACTGCCCATGAATTTACAATCTAGAGGGGAATTGTACATTGACACACAAGGTTCTGGAGGAAGAATACAATTTTGAGGTAACAGAAATGTATTCATGTTTCTGCCAAAATAAGGAGTACTGCCTTACAACCAGTGTACAGTACACAGTGTGTTTATTCAGGAGTCCAGTCAGCTCTTGAGACTTTGCACCTCTCCCTGTCATAGGGCCCTTGTTAAAGGAACACTATAGTATTCCTGACCATTCAAGTCAAATCCTGATGTGGCATTTTAGGCAATCGGGCTAGCTCCAATTGTGCTGAAAAGGTGATTTTTACTTACTCTTTCCTCTCACAGTTATTGCGTATGCGTGTCAAAATGCCACGCTGCGCCAATCAGAATCTCCTCTGAGTGACTTCCACTGTAGGTGTCATTAGGCATCAATGTAAACAGTAAGAAAAATAAGGCATTGTATTGCTAGCGCTAATGATATAGGTATCAAAAGGCAGCTGAAAGATCCCAAACCAGAGTCACTCTTATCCTGGTCAGACAAAGGATGTATTTAGATGGAGGGAGCAGCGCCAAGGGTGGCCCTCAGGAGTGTGCCAAATATGAAACAAGGATAAAAAGAGAGACTATATAGTGTAGTAAGTTTGTGACGCATATAAGTAAGCTCTACTTAAATGTAGCTGGGCAGTATGATCCCCGCCTATGGCTATGGTGTGTCACGAATTACCTCTATTCCATCGATGCTCCAGCAGAGATCTTGAGCCGCGGGAGCCTGAGCAGGCGCAATGCGCAAATACTAGGGGCAGCATACGACCTCCGAACCTAGATTGCGTCACGTCTCCTAGGCAATAGTAAATGCTTTGGAGACGTGTGCAATAGTTCCATGCCGCAGGACAAACCTGCAGGCATATTAATCCACTAATACACTCCATGCAACCCCTGTTACTGACAGCTCCATACACCAATAGGGTGTTATAGAGACTAGCCAGAATATAGGGAGTGCAGAATTATTAGGCAAGTTGTATTTTTGAGGATTAATTTTATTATTGAACAACAACCATGTTCTCAATGAACCCAAAAAACTCATTAATATCAAAGCTGAATATTTTTGGAAGTAGTTTTTAGTTTGTTTTTAGTTATAGCTATGTTAGGGGGATATCTGTGTGTGCAGGTGACTATTACTGTGCATAATTATTAGGCAACTTAACAAAAAACAAATATATACCCATTTCAATTATTTATTATTACCAGTGAAACCAATATAACATCTCAACATTCACAAATATACATTTCTGACATTCAAAAACAAAACAAAAACAAATCAGTGACCAATATAGCCACCTTTCTTTGCAAGGACACTCAAAAGCCTGCCATCCATGGATTCTGTCAGTGTTTTGATCTGTTCACCATCAACATTGCGTGCAGCAGCAACCACAGCCTCCCAGACACTGTTCAGAGAGGTGTACTGTTTTCCCTCCTTGTAAATCTCACATTTGATGATGGACCACAGGTTCTCAATGGGGTTCAGATCAGGTGAACAAGGAGGCCATGTCATTAGATTTTCTTCTTTTATACCCTTTCTTGCCAGCCACGCTGTGGAGTACTTGGACGCGTGTGATGGAGCATTGTCCTGCATGAAAATCATGTTTTTCTTGAAGGATGCAGACTTCTTCCTGTACCACTGCTTGAAGAAGGTGTCTTCCAGGAACTGGCAGTAGGACTGGGAGTTGAGCTTGACTCCATCCTCAACCCGAAAAGGCCCCACAAGCTCATCTTTGATGATACCAGCCCAAACCAGTACTCCACCTCCACCTTGCTGGCGTCTGAGTCGGACTGGAGCTCTCTGCCCTTTACCAATCCAGCCACAGGCCCATCCATCTGGCCCATCAAGACTCACTCTCATTTCATCAGTCCATAAAACCTTAGAAAAATCAGTCTTGAGATATTTCTTGGCCCAGTCTTGACGTTTCAGCTTGTGTGTCTTGTTCAGTGGTGGTCGTCTTTCAGCCTTTCTTACCTTGGCCATGTCTCTGAGTATTGCACACCTTGTGCTTTTGGGCACTCCAGTGATGTTGCAGCTCTGAAATATGGCCAAACTGGTGGCAAGTGGCATCGTGGCAGCTGCACGCTTGACTTTTCTCAGTTCATGGGCAGTTATTTTGCGCCTTGGTTTTTCCACACGCTTCTTGCGACCCTGTTGACTATTTTGAATGAAACGCTTGATTGTTCGATGATCACGCTTCAGAAGCTTTGCAATTTTAAGAGTGCTACATCCCTCTGCAAGATACCTCACTATTTTTGACTTTTCTGAGCCTGTCAAGTCCTTCTTTTGACCCATTTTGCCAAAGGAAAGGAAGTTGCCTAATAATTATGCACACCTGATATAGGGTGTTGATGTCATTAGACCACACCCCTTCTCATTACAGAGATGCACATCACCTAATATTCTTAATTGGTAGTAGGCTTTCGAGCCTATACAGCTTGGAGTAAGACAACATGCATAAAGAGGATGATGTGGTCAAAATACTCATCTGCCTAATAATTCTGCACTCCCTGTAGGTGTGCCTTACGTTTGGCACCCTATTTTCCCTGTTACCTTGTTCTCCTGGATTTATCTAAACTCTGACCTGTCTATTGTTTGTGAACCTCTGCTGCCTGGAATTTGACTTTGGATTGCCTGACCTTGCCTTTGCCTTACCTTTTATCAGACTCTGTTTGCCTAGGACTTTGTTATTTTCTGCTTATTTTTCAAGTACTGCATTTTGGGTTTCATAACCCCAAACGTGACATGGTCAGAGTGTCTTTGTCTGCTGGAGGATGGTCCAATGTTTATAAAATAAACAGAACAGATGCCAAAATAGTATAGTATGCAGATGAAGACAGGTGTGGCTTATATTGTATATGGAAATGCACTCACATTTCATAAAGCCCATAAGTGTCTTCCAACGAATAGCATGGAATGGTATATTCCTCACTCTGTGAACTATATCTTATGATGGTGGTCCTCTCCGTGACAATATAGAAATAAAAAGAGATACAATATAGTGCTCTCTGTAGCAGAATGGGTGAATAAATTAAATATAAAAATTACTCAAAAAGAGGAGCTCTGGGGGGCGGAGCCGAACAGGCAAGCTAACTAGACACACATTGCATGAGCTCCTGCAGTGTAGGCCCAAATTCTACAGAAATCTGAGGAATAACTGCTGCGATTTCCCCACAAACCTGCCTATGAGCTGGGGGAAGCAACCACGAACATGCCGGTACCTAACCTGAAGCCTGACTTGACCGGGAACCGCAGCGGTAAAATGAGGCCTAGTGGAAGTAGGGGGAAAGGACGGCCGCCTTCCCGCTGGATTCCAACTGCGGCACGCGGGTACAAAACACACACCCCCCCCCCTATGGACCGGTGGGGGTTATCCCGGTCCTCGCCTGGCGGGCTATCCTGAACCCTGCACCAACAGACAACCATAAAGATCTCCATAAGAAACGAGGGGACGGGAGTGCCCAAGATGGCGGATCACTCCGACACAACAGTGTCTGACAAGCGACAGCAACCTCCGGATGCAGAGGACGCCGGGGACCACGCAAAAGATCCCATCACAATAATCTTTGACCGCTTCTGGGCCAAACTACAGACACGCTTACAGCCCGCAGGGCCCTGCCAAACATCACCCATGAGGGTAAGAGCAAATGGCGGACGGGAGCATGGGAGTCCTCCTCAGGGCAACTTTCAGACCCTAGTATTAAAATCCCACATCTAAGGCCCTCCCGAGCTGAGAGCAAGAAGGGGAGTCCCCCAGAGGCGCTGGCCACACAAGCGGAGAGAGGCAAGACGAACACCCAAGCGACCCGATCTAACTCCCCGCACCACCCCGAAAGGGCCGACCCTGGACCATGAAGGTTCCCAGGCTCGTGGCCTACGAGCGCCAGCTCTCCCACAGCTCTGGGGCAGGAGAGAACTCCCGCAACCGAGACACCGCGGCTCTACACTAATGGGACGGAACTCTGGCGTGAGGACCAAGCCTGGACGACAGCCGACAACAGGAGGTTGCCGAGCATGCAGCGACAAGACTCTCATCCCGGTACTAGATCAAGGGAAGAACTCCCTCCTCACCGCTGCTGCCTTGAGTGACTGCCTGGATGTCCTCATCCGCACCAGACAGGCGGAACTCTGCATGGCGAGGCAGCAAGGACAGCGACCGATGAACCCCAGGGACGATACGGACCTACCAAGCCGGGGCATCGGCTGACAGTGCCACGTGCTCCCGAGCGAGGTACCCGTGCCCCCCCTCAGGACTTACCGCTATATTCCAGCTGTTGATACTCAGGCAGACAATATTGGCAAGCTACTGCTATCTGCTCTTAACATGCCAACGCACAGTTAGTTACCATATATTTTATGACTCACAGTTAGTGCCTGCCATTAACCTCTGTTGAACAAGTCTTCATTCACTAACAAAAATAATACAAATATCAATGTAAACTCCACTGTTACTAATCTACTTTATTATTTTACTTAATATTATATCTAGTTAGAGCTGTCTGTATAACCATCGAGTTTACCCTGAATAACATAAGATGCCTAACCTATGCCAAATTACTTAGTAGCCTCAGATGGTGCTTAAACCTGACACCCATTAAATGCTCCACGCGAAATCTATGTGTATAAG